TGCAGTTGGGTTGGTGGGTGTGCGAGAAAGTACGGTCAAGGGTAGGAAGGGAAAGTTGTGCGTATGCCCGCAAACTGTGTATGACAGTGCCGCGCCAACATTGGCCTGACATACTTCGGGTTTTGGACAGTCCCGTGACGGACGTCATGTTTGGGGTCATTGAGCCGGGATGCGCAATTCTTTAAGCGGCGGGATATTTTCAGGTTGGCCAAAAAAATTCGCGGAAGTTTAACAAAGCCGATGTAATATCGGAGGATTTTTGGTAGGATTGGGGATCTCTGTGGATGCAGATCACAGGTCAGGTGGAGTGAATACCAACCAAAAAGAGTGTCCAAATCAGCTGTTTGTCGAAGATCAAAGCTTACGGGGAAGAGGGAAAGGGATGAGATCAGTAAAGCCTGATGAGTTTGAGGAGACATCAGATAAGTTAATGTGCATTATTAGCGGGAGGAGAAAGCTTTACCTTTGCCACAATTAGGGTGGTGACAAAAAGTGATTAAACGAGGCCGGATGCGGGTGGATTCGTACTAAGTAAACTATTGGTAAAGTAAACTATTGTTAATATCCAATAATAAAGTACAAGAGGTCCAGAGCAAATGCCACGCTCCCAACCGGCGGCGATGGGTGAACCCCCTGTGCTATTGGAAGGGTGGCGGGTATACAAACGCACCATAGTGTGGCGTAACATAGCGACCCCCTCTGCAGGACGTACCGATCACCATACGAGGTTTTCACCCCCCATGCACGTTATCAGGTCTGCGATGTCGTATGCCACCAAGCAGACATAATTGTGGTTTGTGCATTGAGAAATAACTCCAGCTACCAGATATGTGACCCGGTCGGGGAAAGGCCAGGCATGTAGAACAGCTCAGTCAGTTCGAACAAGTGAACAGTAAACAGCCGCTGGAAAAGGCAGGGCGCGGTGGAGGTAACTAAGGTTGCAGCTAAAATCGAGACGATCGGAACAGAACGGAAATGCACAGAGCGCGTGAACCATAGCTAAACGATGACGGAGTGTGAGCTATCAAGCCAGTCAAAAGCGTATCGCAATGTTGTGTGTGCATGTGTTTAATGGGTTGTGTGGCGTATGATACGTTCTCAGGTATGAGAAATTTCTAAGTGTGTTTTACTCGGGTTGGCTAGAGCTGGCATGAAGAAGCACCACTCATTGAAAAGAGCAGGTAGAGTATGTTCAGTCACGTGGAAAATACTTGAAGCCGATTGGGTAGTCTTCGTTTTCGAAAAAGGTTGGTGACAATCGGTAGATCCATTGCTGGGAAACGTTTCGCTTTTGACACAAAAGCTTCGTCAGGCTCAGTTTTGGTGCAATTGAAAGATCCTCCACCGGCTGAAAGGACTAAGGACTGTGTGTACAAAATTAACTGCAACGATTGCGAGTTGACACGTGACCGTGTGGTTGTCAATCCAGTTAGGATCATTAGAAAAAACGGGGGATTAGGGTGGAAACCCCAACCGACCAAAGGTCACACCATCCCTCTTACACAACTTTCTTAGCAGTAGCTCACCCACACAGACTAACAGAAGGTTCAGACGAAGTTCAAGAGGAACCATCAAATGAACCGAACAAGAAGAACTAAACCCTAGGCAAAACCCAAACACATGTAGGTTTTCTCACCGACCCAAAACTTGTTCAACCGCTCTAACACACTAAAATCCCTCGGCCGGCATCCAACAGAGATTTAGCTTGACATAGCTCATTGGTTCTCCTTCCACCTTAAATCTCGATCAACCTCGGAACCTAGTCACTTGGCCTGACGAAGCGTTTGTGCCAAAAGCGAAACGATGCCCAGCAATAAATCCACTGATTGTAAACAAACTTTTTCGAAATGCAGGTAGAGTAGTCGAGAGCATGGACAAAGCTTGAAGGAACCTGGTATATTTTGCCTCGGGAAGAAGCCGGACCGATAATAAAGCATACTGATCAAGTAGACACTTCGGGTAACTGTTGCTTCTGTTCCAGAGACTGTTCCATATGCGAGTATGGTACACTGGGAAGAAGAAGTAGCGTGGGTTTATAGGCGCCACGTTGCGCGCTAAAAGGACTCTGGAAACTTGGTGATTGTACGACTCTACTCTTGGCCTAGACGCTCTATGGAAGCATTTCGTTACAACAGACAGTGTGGGACAGTTAGATTGTGCTTTAACCGTCTGGGACACAGTGGCGCAAGACCCAAGATTATGCAGTGGTAGCAGTAGGAGAGAGGACTGGATGGTGGAAATAAGTTCTTAGTAAATGAGCACTAGATGTTCCCGAGTGCTAGTCTGCAAACATGCGCATAAGATGAAGAGAAGACTGCACAAAATTTCACAAGTATTCGTACGCAGCTTGAAAATTAAAAAGCACAGCCTACATGTTTGGGCGTCCCGGAACTGGATTTGATGAGAAACGCTTAAGGTGCAGGAGTATTGAAGACCATGGTTTTTGATTTCCGTGGAATGGGCGACAGGTTTCCCATAAATTTTGATCCTCTAATCTCGAACCCGGTAATGGCAGGGACATTTATGCAACTTGGAATAGAAGAATTTTTGGCCAGAATCATTCAATCAGCTAGTCAGTTTCTTAGTCTTGTTGGATCTGACGAAAGACAAGAGTTTTAACGCGTGTTTCACGTTTTTTCCGTTTTCCATTTGGATCATTGCGATTGAGGCATGATCATTTCTTTTATTCCTGAATTTTGCAGACAGCAATACAAATGGGGAAGTACACTTTGCTAGGCATGAGTGTCAAGTGGAATTTCATCGTACATTTTGGAATCGGAATTCCCTAGCCAATGGAACGTGTTACGTGCTGCTCGAAGATTGACGCGGCTGACATGACCTTAAACAGAAAACCATTGCTTGTCGTTAGTGTTCCTGGGCGGTTGCACAAATGGCCAGGGTCAGGAAGCAAAATTGGGGTTAGAGTAGATGGAAGTGTAGAAGTGTAGGAAGTTTTGTCTGAAGACTGTTTCGAAATGAATCTAAATAGAACCAGTGGTGTCAGTTATGTACGGAAGTCAGATTTAAGTTATAGGTACGATGTGAAGATAGGGTCAGCGTAAAGTGCCAAATGAACACTGTATATAGAAATCAAGTTGTGGAAGAGGCAAACATAAATCGCGGCAGAAAAGAATACTGTTTAACTGGGAACGAATGTTTTCCAGAGGCGTTTGGGGCTCGTTGGAAGACCTGCTCGGTGTTGCAACTATACGCTCCAGTGTGTGAGCGATTGCGGTCCAGTTTCTAAAGGAAATATTTCTGGAAGTGCCATCACACGAAATACAGCGGTGCCACTGGGACCAACGGCACGGTTGTCTGGGCATATTTTGCAAGTAATAAATGGGCACTCAGCTGTTTAACAACAAACTTGCGCATGTCATCAACATCTGCAAACAATACGTTCTCCCAACCTAGCGCAATGTATCCGGCAATAGTGGATGCGGCTTCCGCTATGTTAACTCGGAATAGCAGTTATCCGGATCCCTGAACGCACACTTCGGTATTCGACCAAACAAGCTGATATAAATAGCGAAAATCACCTGCAGGTGTGGCACCTCCGCATATTTTGCACCCAAAAGGACCATGTAGTTTCCAGAACGTTCAGTGAATTGGTTCAGCTGCAGATTAAACCACATTTTTGGGACAAAGCTTGCCATGTGCTCCCAATTTGAATTATCCCATCTCCATCTCCACGTTTGATCGTTGTGACTCCGGCCATTTACCTAACCACCCAAGGTCACTCATGGCCAGCAATGGTTTTCAGTTTTAGTTCATGACACCTGACTGTCCACCAAGTTGTTCCCAACAAGTTAAGAAAGAAACCTATTATTAATATTTCATTGGATATTCCCCACTGTTTATGACACTGTTCTGTTTTTGTGCAACCCCGCCCCCACAAATCCCCAGTCATTCTCCTTTCTAACTGTAAAACTATGATCATGCCAGACGGAAGAAGAATAAAAGTACATCACACCACAATGTCGGGACCAAATTATACTTAGTTTTATGCACGCACTAAATGGTTGCTGGAGAGTGGTTCTGAAACTATTAGTGACCCGTTCTCCGAGTTGTTGCCGTCCGGTGTGTAATAATCAAAGACGACATAATTTCAGAACTTAACCTGAAAAAATTATTGTGTATCCAACGGATGGTCTCAAAAATCCTAAACGGTGCCTGTACGGTTTCGAGCAGATAAAACGGATTCTAAGTGTTCTACGCCCGACGGCTTTCGTTAATGAATACTTCCGGCAACCAAAAAAACCAGGGTTGTAAAAGGTTCCGAAGATACTTAAGAGGATATTTTCATTAGCTTTGGCTTGTGTGTGAGTGCCAATAGATAATACAAAGGATTGAGGACATGAGTGTGCTGAAGAGCACTTCGAAGGTTTGGCATTCATGATCCAAGCACAGAAGGATTGGAATTAATGGGACATCGAACTCCACAGTAATGCTTCTGAATGCAGAATATGAACATCACATTTGAAAGTGCATTCACTGCTGCACACTGACGATATTTCCTCGGCTGGTAGAAAAATGACCACACTATAGCATCCATGTTTGATAAAAATATGAAATTCATCTGGTCGACTCATGGTGAAAGCTCCTGAACCGCCGGTCCTTCTGTGCAGTGGCGACCTTCCTTCGTCTTGTTTTAGTTTTTGAATTCCGACCGTCGCCAATGCAAACACTAGGTCAATTGCCACCTGAAGGTCATGTCCCCCGGACATGGTTCGCTTGCAATATCGGACTATCTTGAGGCCGATGACAGTCTGTTCTGGTGATAAGAGTATTCGTTTGCTCCAATCTGAAGAGCCATAATCGCCCGCTTGATCCGCGTCGTTTTGCGTTATCAATGAGAATCAAATGAACCGATATACTCTGCTGAAACAGCTAGGCGATGGAACATATGGCTCTGTATTACTTGCTACTTCTTTGGAAACGAAGGAGAAAGTTGCAATCAAGAAGTTTGTCATGATTTTGTTGCGATGACATATAGTTTAGGATGAAAAAGAAGTTTTTTTCGTGGGATGAGTGTCTTAACTTGCGGGAAGTAAAGGTAAGTTTTAAATGTTTTCGAACGTCCTAAGTAATCACAGACCGGTCGCTCGATGGTACGATGGGAGAAGGGTGTTTCGTGTCGCTGCACCCTCTGATCGACGTCTGTGTGCTAAATAATTTGGCACTCTCGGGTGACCATCCAGCCTCAGATTTGGATTCAGATCCTATCCACGTTGAAACCCGGTGCTTGTCTACCTAAGGGTTCGGTTTGAGCTAGCTATCAGTTGTCCCTTATTCAGTTGATTTCATGTGTGTCACGATTAGTATGTGGTGGGGCCTTACTGCGATTTAGGTCACTCCTGTTAGCTCTCATGGATTTGGCCAGGGGCGTAATTTACTTGCTGTATTCACTACGGAAAGATCTTCCAAGCTGGACTCCTTGTGTCCCAAGGCTGAAAGCAGTCCGCATCCAGTCTTCTTAAAATACAAACTGAGGAAAATGGCGGTAGCTCAGGTAGCGTAGATGGTCGTTGGCTTGTTCGCTGAGCCGGGCAATTCGCAAACGTTTCATCACCAATCGAGATGACATCTTCAGTACGTTATTGAAGAGCGTACTTATGCGTAGCGGTGGGTTAGTGGTTGTGCGTTGAGTAGAGTTACTTGTGTGTTGATATAAGACACGTATGTTTCAATAGCAGAAGCCCTCTGCCTCCCCAGCTTTCAACATTCACAAAAGCCTTCGGACTTTCCTTTCTACTATTTGGCGTTTGATGGGTTTGCGTGCGCTGTCGAACTCCCTGCGGATGCGGACTTCCTGTCATCAATCAGTGATATTGATCTTAATATCTATGGTCCTTTTATTGTATCGGAGAGGTCTGACAGACAGCACCGGACACCTGTGCCATAGCTCCTTTTGTATTTTGCCGCGATCTATCCACCTGCTCGCTACCAGTACACTCGCCTCACTGTAGAGAGCGGTTGAACTAGCTCAGATCGATGCTGCTGTGCTATCGTAGTCCTCCGAAGACAACGGACTGAAACGCTGCTTGCTTATTTGCGAGGGAAACGATCTGTCAGGCCTGCTACCTTGACTACATGCTGTACGACAAGCACGCGGCTCTCACCGTGGCGTGGTCAAGGTCAAGTTGTGTTCCCCAGAAGGAACGGCGGTCTTGAATTATGGCACCTACTGGTGGCCGATGACCACGTGATCCAGCTGGGCCCAAGGTTGACTTGCAGTTGGCAGCCGCGAGGTTATACAGTGGGGACGTTTATGCTGAAATTTCGTGCTGGCCATAATCAGTTAATCAGCACGCAAATGGAGGAGTCGGTATCCATCTGCACCACGAGTGTTATCATCATCATCATCATCGACAGTATGACATCAGTGTTCGACACCGATGCTTCACTGCCGTGGCGAGATGGCTCAAGTGGTTGGAGCACGGATTTACCAACCAGAAGGTCCGTGGTTCGAGCCGGACCTCTGCCACTCGACTTCCCCTGTCTAGGCTTGGGCAACCTGGCAGTATCCCAGCCCTCGTGCTTCCTTCGGGTGGCATGGCAGCTAGGCACCGGATGGGTGTTGCAGCTGAACGAAGCCTACTCTCCACGAGTGTTAGCCCCTAATTGACCGCCCAAATATGGTTTCAAGGAGTTCAGACGACCGCTTTGGGCTTTCATATTGTCCGTAAGGATCACAATGTCAATTTCATATTGTCGTAAGGATCACAATGTCAATGCCTCTAGCTTGAAGAATGAGCCAGAATAATTCTGTGTAGAAGTATCCTCAGCGCCAGAACCGTAGTCCATTGAGGCCTATGCCGACACTACAAACAGGCACCGTTTTTCATGTCGCGAGGCTCTGTGCTTGATAGAGCTGGATAGCCGTGTGGCACATAGACTGTTCACTGAAGCTCAAAAACAGCAACGCGTTCAGCCCTGTGGCTGTGTCCACCTCTCCTGCCATATGTTCCATGAGTCATCGCTTATTGATCCGCAAATGCGCGAATATTGAAATGTGGGAGATTTCTGCTCGTTCTTAGCGTTTTGAGATGAGTAATCACGCCTGGCTCTTTATGCGTGTTTCGGAGACACAGCATACATCAATTTTAAGAGGGCATAATGTTTCAGCGAGATTTGTCTGTTTGCCAATTTGACAGAGTACGGACGTTGGAAGTTCCCACTTTAGGAAGAATCCCACGGATTTAGCAGTATGTTACTCTGTGTATTGTTAGTAGGCAGCAATGAGTGTAGGACATATCGGTCAGACAAATGGTAACCCAAAGATCTAGTTTGCTTGTGTGATGAGAAGGGATGAAGGCCTCAAAATGGGGTGTTTCCCAGCTTATTCAGGTGGGTATAGAAAATGGGCGGTCACCGAAGCACATCGAGAATAAGTTAGGTCATTGTTCACTTTGAATGTCGTCGCCTGCGTCAACGGTAGAAACACTTTGGCAATCAATTCATCTGGTCGTCCCCTTTAACGAAGCTAATGGGGACGGCTGTGGTCAGGTCAGTTGTGCGGTAGATTTACCATGTCGATCTCTTATGGGTGTGTCAAAATCTATTTTTCTGCGGCTTGATGGTCTATGCAGCCGCCATCTTAAGAATAAATGCATAAACGAGAAAACAGATGGACGTTAAGTTCATTCGAAATGTCGCAAAAAATTCTGGCCGCATTCGCTGATTCGTCTCTGGTGGTTACTTCGTAGAGCACTAGCGAAGCTCTAGGGACGGCGGATATCCGCTGGATGATGAGTTCAGATTATCCTTATTTTTGGGAAGCCCCCGAGTTGCAATGAAAGTCGCATATGCATAGTTTTAGTTACGACTTCGGAAATGCCGCTGACATCACCCTCCGAGAGCTTGGCGTAACTCGAGAACAAGGGATGAATGCTAAGTGGAGTCCCATTTGGCTCGTAGGTTCATCCATTATTTTATGGTTAACACCATGCGACTAACATCCACCATCTGCCTCCATCTGGTCACAGGGGTCAGCTCAGTATTTCGCAATTTTAAGTGGCTTTATTTTCTCGATTCTCAATAACGCACGACCCTCATCATTATAATACTCGTGTGAATTTATGGGTCTATGAAGGATCCCAATGAGTCCACCAACAATAAGCGGTATTCGATAAGGCAGACCTCTTTCATTTCTTAACCCTATTCTTGCATCATTGTCTATTGAGGGACCACTCAAACTATTCGCTACCTCCAGAGTCGATTAAATCGCACTCCCCAGAGCATGAGGATGAAATCATGTTGCCTGGCTTTCATTCTGTCAAAATACAAACTGCACTCATTCATTTAATTGATGTCGCCCCTGACCCTAGTTTGCCTTTTTCCTAGTTTTGTCATTGAATTCTAGATCTTGGAACGTTGCTAAATATGCACGTTTTGGTAGTTCCGTCAATACTTCTGCTGTTGGTCCCCACGAACTACATATGAATGAAGACCTATACTGTGTGGACAAAATACGCCTCTCTTAAGGTTGCTGGAAACTCTTGAACACCCCCGACCGACTTCACCATTCTTGGAGCTCATCAAGTAGGCCCAGTCCCAGAGTTTCAGTCAACTTCATATTCTACTCGAACGTAAATTGCACGAAATCAGCTAACCACACTTATTTGTGTACCAATTTGGTTTTGACGGGAGATTGACGTGGAACCCAGCTGAATCTCTCGCTTGTGGTGTTTTTAAGCAACTGAATGTGCTGCATCAGGTCGCCTCAGGTTTCAGTTGGCACGATATTCGAGACATCGCGATACATCGTATAGACGTAGTACAGTACTCATAAGGTTGCTGAAGACTTTTCGAAAACCCGCGATCGGTTTTGCCCTTCTTGGGGCTCATCATGTAATTGGATTAGAAAGTGAAGAATTTGACTAGGTAACGAGAACTCCAAAGTGGTTATGGAATCAAGAGATTTTGACAAAACGGTGTCGTCCAGAGGGCTATATAGGATAACGTACTTCGGTGAAGCTGAGGGTGAAGGAACGGAACTTCGCACTTTACGTTAGTGCACCTTGTTTCGCATATCACGAAACTAGGCCTTAACCATGTCGATCTATGCGCCTGCTGCAGTGGGAGATAAAGACTCACCTAACTTATGATTGAGGGGCCCGGCCGTTTTGATCGAATAACGAAACCAGTAGCGCCTTAATCCTGTCAGTCGGTTGAAGTTTTAATCTTCACCACATTACCGCTCTCTTTACCGATGATTAGGAGCTGTCACTTAGCCTTATTATCCATACGCTGAACTTGATAGTTTACTTGTAGTTGCATCCTAACCGGATTGGTCTTTGAACCTCTAGAGAACTCAGTGCTGTCGGAGATCCAGTGTTTTAATGGTGCTATGTGTACTGCTAGTAGGTAATCCCGCTTCACTCATGGTGAAGCGGGTGATCATACCCAATTGGGCATTGATAGCAAGGCTTCAATGGGCTCGTTGGCATCGAAGGTAGACCTAGTAAACCTTATTTTCTGGTCCGTAAACTTCATGACAACTGTCATAGGCATGTACCTTTTCGAAAGTTTAATCTACAAGAGTAACGAGTGGGATCTGTCAGCGTTGAATAACCTTCACCGTGCGTTGCTGGACGCAATTCGCTTATCGAGGTCCTATCTTGACTGATTGTTAATAAGCGTTCAGTACTTTCAGAAAGTTATTGCAACAGGCAACGAGCCTGTAGTTAGCTGTTCAAACCTGATTTTGTTTATGCGTTGTCATAAGATCAACAGGTTGTAGCTACTAGCTTCATCGTTTAATGCGTTCGTGAGTTGGTTCTCTTTTCTCATTTTTCGAAATCCCAACTTCACGAGTTTTAGGCCGAAGAGCGCGTGGCAATCATTGTCTCTAGAGGAGAGGGAAGTAGGTTCCAAAGTGAAAATTTGTATCCACAGGTCGTTATACTATGTTTTACGTGTAAATATCTTGGACAAGGAAGCTCTGATGTACAACAACGTCAATCGAATACTGGTGTGTTGATAAGCCGGGCTTGTCGCTGGTAATTCGAGAGCACTAGGAATGCTGTTTGGTTGCGGGTGCAATTGTTTGTCTCAGTTATCCAAAGTTGTGCGGCAGAAAATTATTAGACTGGAGACTCGATGTTTAATGTTGTTATCCACGCTCCTTGTCACTTTTGTTCTCCATGTACTGTGTGTTGATTCTGAACTTTGCCCGTTTGTACCTTCCTCCTTCAAGACACTGAAGCGTCTCAATCATCCGAATATTGTGAAGCTTCGTGAAGTGATTCGGGAGAACGATGAATTGTTCTTTGTTTTTGAATACATGAGGGAGAACTTGTATGAAATGATTAAGCGCAGGTACACTCTTTGTGTCTACAATGTTGTGCTGCACTGCACTGTTTTTGTTTTACGCTTAATGCACCGTCTTTTTAGAAGTTGACTTCACAATGGGATATACTAACATTTATTTTTCTCATTTAGGACCAAGCTGTTTCCTGAAGAAGTCGTGCGCAACATTATGATGTGTCTACGATGTTGTGCTGCACTGCACTGTTTTGGTTTTGCACTCAATGCACCGTCTTTCTAGAAGTTGACTTCGCAATAGGATATACTAACATATATTTTTCTCATTTAGGACCAAGCTATTTCCTGAAGAAGTCGTGCGCAACATTATGTGGCAAGTGTTAGATGGACTCGCTTTTATGCATAAACAAGGTATGTGGCTTTCGATTTCCGAGTACTTGTCGAAGTTTGTGGAGGATAATATTTCTCCAGTTGACATGTTCTTCCTTGCTGCAAGCATCCCTCTTCTGGGTTTTATGCCAGTTTGAGATGGTCCCATATTTTACTTTCTTGAGTCTTGGTGTTTAAAGTAGGAACACCAGCTCATGGTTACAGTTGCGTGTTTTGGTACGCATTTACGTCCGTCAAAATGACGGATAAACAACCTAAGTCGGTTCCTATCATTCAGGTACCCAGCTCGTATTGGAACGTATTCTTCAAGAATTATTGATCCTTTTAAGTTGCACCTGTCCACTGATGACTTCACTGGTCAACTTCAGTTCACTATGCATCTCGAGAGGAACGACAAGTTACTCAAACTTTGACATGAACATCCCCCCAGAGGGTGAAGCGAATGTGTGCCCTACCCTTAAAGGTTTATCGAACTCAACATTCGATTATTCAGTCTATTTTTGATGATAAAAAACACGACCGGTGCCCTGGACTCAACAGTTGGGTTTTGTGGAACATTCTTGAGTTATTTTGCTCGATTCTTCCGGTTGTATAGCGAATTAGTGTGAGATGAACTATACAGTGACCATGGTATTATGTTCTGGTTCTCAGATGGGGAAATGTGATTTGTTTCTTTATAAAAGGACGGACATGTCAAGAGATCGCAATCTCTGACTGTTATGTCACTGGTACTTGTCCGAAACGACCATCAGATCGACATGGTGCGTTGAGTAGCTGGTTCTACAGCAGTAAAACGACACCACTGAGATAGTGGATTGTGAACTTTGGCCCTTAATTGCGCGGTCTGAAATCTGCAAGTCCCGTATTTTAACGACCGGGCTGGTTTCGCAACGTTGGAAAGACTGCGCTTCTGACCCACCCACTTGCCTAGTTGCCTGTTGAATATCGTGGAGATTCACAATTCAGCGCACGTGATAAAACACTTCAATGCACTCCTTCCCGTTTTTCAAGGTTTTTTCCATCGTGATATGAAACCTGAGAACCTCCTCTGTAACGGACCGGATACGGTGAAGTTGGCTGATTTCGGTTTGGCTCGTGAGATCCGATCTCAACCACCGTATACAGATTACGTGTCTACTCGATGGTAAGTGCATCTCGATTTATCTGTGCTACATCAAAACACATTTTGAATATTTGTTATTGTTGAGACTAGAAACTTTAACGAGACTTTATATTAGTTGATGAAACGTCTCAACAGAGTCTGTCGTGTAGCCCTATTTAGGTGACGAAGCTTATATAAACGGTCAGTCACGTGAATGAGGGGTAGTCGCTAAAGTTAGTTCTAGCTGTGCTGGCGATGGGTCTTAGGATGCCCAAGGAGGTAAGACGAGAACTTTCGACCCTTATATGACTTTCCGACCATTACCGTCTAGGTCTTTTCAACCTAGCAGTTTGTGAGCCTCCATTCTCGTTTAAGGTATTCGGTACCTGTCATTAAATGGTGTCATAGTTGAGGCATTTGATCTTTTGTTTGATATAGTCACCTATTATCCAACCAGTTTGCCCCTACTTTTTTAGCGATTAAATCAGCCATCTGTGTTTATGACAAGGGGGTTGTATGTGATCTTTGGCGGTGCCTCACTTTTGTTGACTCAACTTGCCAATAATTATTACTTATCCGTCTAGGTATCGTGCTCCTGAGGTCCTGCTGCGTTCCACCAGTTACAACTCGCCGATCGATATGTTTGCTGTCGGGTGCATAATGGCAGAGGTGTACACTTTCCGTCCTCTGTTCCCAGGCAGTTCGGAAATTGATATGATCTTCAAAATCTGTTCTGTTCTTGGCACTCCCACCAAGGTGAGTGATCCACACCAACTTTGGCCCCTATTTGGACTTCACCAACTGCATCCTGTCTTCAGGCTCGGTCCCGTTATTCTCCGTCTGTGCAACCTACCTTTAGGAGTTGGACTGATCGTATAGACTAATGTACTCTAGCCAGTGAATTCATTAAGCATAGTCTTCAGTGCGTTTATTCGATACCGCCATAAGTTTAGGGTGAGGGCAGTTATTCTGAGACATTTCGGATGCTTTCCCCATCGCTGTCACTTCTGTTGGTTGTTTTTGATGGCGTATGGTTTAGAGAGAGACTAAGTCCCGGTGTTTAACATGGGGTTTGCTATCAGAGGTTACTTGGGAAATGGCTAGCTAGATGAACGTGTTGCTTTGACCGTTGATTTTTTGAGCTCAACACTTAAAGAGGATGAATCCAGAATGTTCATATACTTAGGGGTCACCTGAATGGTATCACTAATACTAATAATGATAGCAATAGTACTAGTAGGAAAACTACACTCATCCGCATACTACTTCGTTTTTTATTGGAAGTCTAACTGAATTCCAGCTGGATCTCTCGTCTATGATGTCGAAAGCTCTTCAACAGGCTTATGAGTAATGTGTTTCGTCCATACAAATCAATTATTGTTCAGGGTATGCTACGAGAAGGAAACGCGAGAGCTGAGCTACCGCTAGATTTCCAAAGCTCAGACAGGAGGAGTCGAGATGCAGAGGTTGGATTCGAATGACAGACCTGATTGCTAAGTTCATACCTTAACCACTGAGCTATCTCGAGCTCAATGGTGTCAGTAAACACAGGGAATTACGTTGGTAATGTGTTGGAATATTGGTAGCTCGGGTGTATTGGTTGGTAATTGATCAGGTGGCTGCACTGAAGATGTCTCCTCGAATGATGACGAAACGTTTACAAATCAATTGCTAAGCTCGGTGAACAGATCAACAGCCACCTGCTCAATTACCAACCAGGGAATTACGTCCCCGTCGCTTCCAGTAAGTCTTTCGTTTTTGTGCTCTGATTGATGCACGATTCCATGCTGTCATCCTCCGTTTGTTTTCTTTCAGAGCGATTGGCCCGAAGGTTATCAATTGGCCGCCGCCATGAATTTCAAGTTTCCACAATGTGCTCCGTCATGTCTCCGAACTCTAATCCCCAATGCCAGTAGCGAGGCTGTTCAGCTGATCGGGGATATGATTGCATGGAATCCAAAGCGTCGTCCAACAGCTCGTGAAGTAAGGGCCGTGCGCGTCATTAATGACAATCATTTATGGCTATTCTCGGCTATTCCCTCATGAGACATTCAGACGGCGTTCAGTAACATGCCCTTTCTTTGTCAATAGGTATCTTTTCAAAGCACTAACTACCTGACTTACATAACCAGACAAGGGTTCTTTCACCATTTATGGTCTTTCCACCATAAGGACTTGTTCAGACGCACCACCGCTAGTATGGCAATTCCGCCAAAATAGAGTACTTCAGTACATTTCAATATGGCAGTCAAGCGTCAGTGCATACCACTGTTGTCTTGCTGTCGGTGGTGTGCTTGTTTCAAGCGCCCATGTACCGTGGATCAGGTGATGTGCTGACCGGCCAGCTGTCAACTGCTGCATCGTGGTTCCATTTTGGAGTTTAGCTTTCAACTGGCGTTCATTCTGCCTCATTAAAAGACAAACCGCTACTTTCATGCCAAAGTACCTTGTTTTGTCAGATTCATGAAGCTTTCTCCCATTTTTAGGGAGCATCCGTAGATCGTAAAGCTCTTTTTCCGCATTCAAGCCTAGGTTATCTTTTTGCGTCTTTAGGTAAAACAACATATGTGCATAGTTTTCAAAACAGGGGACGCTAGCCAATTTGAAAGTGCCCATGCAAGGATTCTAACGGGGATAATCTAATTGGATATCCGCAATATTATATTAATACGTTATCTTGAGTTCGTTATCTTAGTTATCTTAGTTCGGTTGTCTATTGTGGAATTACATATGGGCGCTAGTTTTTAACCTCGCTATTAAAATTACCTTATTTGTAGTCGACTTTGTTTCTAGATATCGGCCCCGAATATTTCGTTTTACTGCCTTGCACCTTTAAATAAGTAGCCCCAGGTCCAACCTAGGTGGCTGACAGCAGTAAAGAAGATTCGCGATTTTCAGTTCTCCCTTGATTTGGCACTCCAAACAGGTATGGGGGTTTTTCCACTGCACGGATCACGCGATTTCTTGCGGGTCTTTCGAAAAGATACGTTGCACGTTCACATGTTCCCGTTACTTTTCTTCCCCTATCTCATTCTAATAGCTTTTAATTTGGCCGTTGGAAAATTGATTTGTAAGTTAGCTAGTCGGAATGCCGAATCCGTCATGTTCCGGATGGGATTCTGCATGTTTCTGTTTAGTCGCAAGTGGCTTCTCAACATTGTCCTCAGGTCGCACCGGTAGCTACTTATTTGCAATTTCACATCAAATGAGTAGGCAAGCTAATTTGTGGGTTGTTCTTAACCATATACAGATGATTTTTTCTCATTTCATGTTTAGAACGACCACACTAACTGGTACTAACGGATAAATCTGACCGGTTGTATAATTTCTCAGTTTTGCTACAAGGTACAAAGATTTCGTTGGTAGAGTTTCGAATTTATTACCCATTTGTTTCATTTGCTTAAAACTTTTCCCAGGCTTTGAGGCGCCCTTATTTCAAACCGATTCAGTCAGTTGTCAGGATCAAAGGTACTGAACATAAAGGTGATGGGTCCTTCCACCACCCTTTCGTCCCTGCAAAAGTAGATAATGCTGCCCCCATCATATCCAAACCGAGCCTCGTGGCTTCCAAGCGTGAGCCAGTGAAACCTCCCGCTGATACCACTGATGAGCCACTAGTGACCCCGATCAATGAAGAGCCACAAGAGGCGGTCGCAAAAGTACACAGTGAATCAGATTCATCTATTCCAATGGATGCAGCTACCTTGTCAGACGCCCTCTCCGATAGCATAGAAGACGTGCTAAAGGATGCTAGTCCTTTCCACCTAAAAACTGAAGGTATGTGCTACTCATCACAAATTGCATGGTCTGTTATCCTGCATGTGTTATACTAAATCAACATCATATGCATGGTCTATTATCCTGCATGTGTTATACTAAATCAACATCACAATGCATTTGGTCACTTAAAAATAAAAACTAATCGTTCAGCTGTGATATTCTGTGGGTGCATAACTACCATGTAACTTGGACGAATCAGGAAGGCTGAGATACTGCCAAGCGTAGATAGGAACAATTGAAAAGTTAGGGTTACCGAGCTGTCTCGAGTTCCCTTGGTAGCTTACATACTAAATACTGCTATGGAGGTCGACAGTTGTTGTTTTCAGGCCTTTCTGTAACTGATGAAGATTTTAGGATATCTGTAATTTTCCATAGAGATTCCATCCTGTCAGTGAAGCTTACCCTTGCTAAAAATCCAGGAAGCACTGTGCAGCTACTTAATTCTTAGTGAGAATCATATCTAACGAAACTCAGACAGTTTCGAACCCGCGATCTGCTGACCGGCGGTTGGAGACTTGACTACTTGACCAGTATTGGTTTTCAATGACATGCGCCCTCGTTTTCACATTTGTATTGGCAATAGTTACTGTGTTTATACCAACTTTCATGGGGAAGAAACAGCCGAGAGCGTCTTCATTTATTTCACCAAATCATCCACCGAGCGACTATTACTTCAAATGGGTTTTGTTCAAATGGTTCATTCGTTGCCTCGTTTTTGGAATAGGCCACTTTTTGTGTGAACTGAATGAATGAGAGTACGGTAGCGAAGCACCTTTGTAGATCATCAATGTCATGCTGTCGAATCGATCCAGGTTTCTCCTCAGTTTGGACGAAGATTTCCATGCCAGCTATCGTACTGTTAGATGTTGCAAATTATACACTGAAGTTTGTATATTCCTCCACTCTTAAGTCCTTTTGAAGACTACATAATCACATTGTTGTTGCTGTCGTCTCTCTCATAATCTGTGATCATTTGTGCACAGTGACAATCAGAAGCGTCGGATTGTTATTTGAGACTTTGAAACTTTTGGTCATAAGAAGTCACCGGTCATCCTGCCATGGCCTTAGGATTTTGCAGATGTTAACGGATGGACACCACAATTATAGCACGCTCATCCAGTTTGGCGGGTTGATGCAGTGTGTATGGCAAGGAATGTGGACGTAGTTGGCGAGTACTGAATGGCTACTATCTCCAATCAGAGTACTGCTGGTGTTGATCGCGGACATTTTATTGTCGTACTAACCGGTTCTCTCCTCAATTGCATTTCTTTTGAAGCCGAAACAGTACTGGCCGGTCCAGCAGTACTTCAAAAAAGTCATTGACATATAGCTCGACCAGTTACGTAATATCTGCATATGTTACTTCTCGCAGCTAAGCATCACTGGTTTCATAACAGGGTTATTCTATGAGCATTTCCAACTTCTTCGGTGTTCTCTCGCTTGAGATGCTATCCCATCTTAATCAAGCCAAACTAAATATTCCACACAACGTTCAATCTATTCGGCTTCATTCCTACGGAAGTCGATGAGCGTACTACCAAACTTCCACTTTTTACTACGCTAGCTTCAGGATCTGTCCGGTTAATTTTCGGTGGCAGCTTTCTGCGTTGGAACGAGCTAGTCCATCAAGTCCGTCTTGTGTTCCGAAAAATCGCTTCAATCGAATAAGACACTTCATTTTTGCTTCAACCAGATGTAAGTTCGATGACCACACACAGCTTGTAACATAAATTAGTTAATGTGACCTTCAGATGCAACTCTTTCATAAGTCCTGTCTTTGTAGGGCCAATTTCCCGTTCCGTAGCTACGTTGCAGATACATTAAATGGAACTGCCTGACATCACAACCACCAGACGTGGGCTTTACCGGGACACAGATGACTAACAGTAAAACATTCCCAACGCTTAGCCATGGATAGTTGATCAACTTATGGGACTATGTGTTCACTCGTTTTTCTCAATAGTTCGTGTGAAAGGTGAACTAATTTTGAGGCTACTCTGCGATTTCCTGATTGATCATGATCAACTTTGGGACTATGTGTTCACTCGTTTTTCTCAATAGTTCGTGTGAAAGGTGAACTAATTTTGAGGCTACTCTGCGATTTCCTGATTGATCATTATTTTTGTTAACCTTGTTTTAATTGGGCTTCTTGTTCCAGTCTATGGCAAGGGCATTGTCGTAACCCCACCCTTACCAGTTTCTACGGATATCGCTTCAACTGTGACCAAACGGTCCACGAACCACAATACTGAGGACCTAGAACTTAAAGGTGTTGATGCGTTTGGTGACCGCCTTTTGGCTGAATTGCTTGCATCGGAAGAGGAGTTACAAGACAAAAGACACGATGTGCCACCCGTTATTCCAGATACGAACAACGTAAGCATAAATACTGGTTTGCTTTTTGGCGCATGTATACTGTGCTCGTAAACGTCATTGAGGGTGTAAAATTGGATTCAGTAAGAGACCACCCGATGAAAACTACAACAATAAAGCTAAGTGCAGTGGCGTCTCGAGAACACGCATGTGCGAATACAGTCAGGAAGTTTGGAGCATGCACAAAGTGGCCCTAGTCATAGGCTGTGGAAATCCAAGATCAGAATTTTTGAAACAATTTGGAAGACAAACAGGGAGGAAAAGCATTGTTTAATCTTGAATAATTTTATTCTGGTAAATATTATTGAAGTGGTGTTTATCTTTAGGGAACATGACAGTCAGAGTATACGACCATGCCGAACTCAACCAGATACAGATGGGTAATATGGGCATGTGACGCTCAAACAATAGCGGTCTCACATGTTCCGTACTGCATTAGCTGTGAAAGACGTCCTACGTTGGTATCACCATTTGCCGTAGGCTATTTTGATAGCCACCAATTAGCAGTGTTTTCTTACGGGTATGTAGGTGGTTGATGTTCCCGTGTGCACATGGTCCCAAGAACAACCCCAGGAAATCGCTCCTAACCTCGTGAGTTGTCCATTCCTTGTAGCATTCATCCGAGGAGGTTTTCCTTTGGATACACGCGCTTGGGAATGAATGCTGTTGTTATGTTCAGGATGTGTCCGATTTTCGCCATTTTTCTGGAGCGCAACAGACAAAATCTTTCAAGGGATATGATCGCCTTTAAGGCACTGTCAGACTAGCTGGAAGTCTCCAAACATCATCGGAATCCCGTCCACATAGTACTTCATTTATATCCCAACCACAATATGGTGCACCTAAGGGATCACCATCAATCACAGACAAAACTCATTTGCATTAGTCCTGTGACGAATCGGGTTGGTGATTGAGACTAAAAACGGACTAGCTGACCGGATTTACAAGTCGAACTATTGATTCATGGAGGGATACCCGAAAAGAGTAATGTGAGATCAGTTGGCGAGATCATTACTTTATTCCTTCATATATGCACAATGTGCGATGGAATCAAAGGAATTCGTCTCTTCTCACTTTTTATCGATGTGAGTGGGCAATCCAAAACTCAATTCTCCGGTTGGAAGCCGATCCGTGCTCTATGGTCTCTGTTGGCTCTGTCGCCCTTCCTATTGATCACCCTTCGTCCTAGTTTCTTTCAAAGGTTTTAAAATCTTGATTATTATCTTGATATTTTTACCCAGGAACTTTTTGGTGGGACGGTGGACAAAAAGTTGGGTCGCCGAAGATTGGCGGATCCGGATTTCCAGGATGTCATCGATGACTGGGATCTCGACCAACTTTTGGATTCCAGACCCCCCAAAAAACTTGTTGCACCAATGGGACAGGTATTTTTTGTTTGACCCCACATTTTCATACTCTGTTGGTAACTTGCCAATGCTTGAATAGTGTTATGCTAAAGCAACGTGTTATTTTCTGTCGTAGTATGAGAAAGAATGAATGATGCGGACTTTCAGAATATTGGAAATGCACACTGACGGCAAAAGGAAGATAGGAATTGGTGCGTAGGCGTTATCCAAACCATTGATGACCCGTATGTGCCATATCCCTATTGCTAGCTTTTCCTAAGTGATATCGATCTACATGCTATGGTCACTGACAGACAGGAATACTACTGGCTCCAGTGTGCCACTTTATCTCAACAATGCCAAACAACACAATGGGGTGTCATCTACTTTATTCAGAAAACGGGTCGCCTGAACAATGTAGCGAGGTTCAAGTAGAACTTAAGGTTGACGGAAACTCGGGGATTGCGCCTACCTGATGAGCCCCAAGAAGGGCGAAACCGGTAATGGGCTGTCGAAGAGTTTTCAGCAACCTTGTGAGTAGTTTACTTTATGAAAATGTAGCGGTGTCTGGGGTGGTTCTGCTTTTCGTTTTTTTCTCCCTCCTTTGGCGCATCAATTCTCGATTCTTTGCATCTGCGACTGAAGTTCTCGTAGTTATCTGATTCCACTCTTTATGAGCGTATTGTATATGTTTTAGTGCTTGTTTGGATGTTTTGGGTCCCTCAAAGATCAAATGAGAAATTTCAATTTCCGTGATACTGTGGAGATTACTAAGGAAAAATCTATAGGTTCATTGCTCCTTTAAGCCACCTCTGTAACCTTGAATAGGATGCCCATTACTTCTGTTCATGGTTAGGCTTGGTAACCATAAAAACCATAGCGTTACACCAAAAGAACGCGAGCTTGAGATAGTTTGGCCGTTAAGGCTGGAAACAATTGATGGGAAAGTCCGTAGGTTTGAATTTTCGACTACTCATGTACAGACCTGAATAGTATCTCAGCCCTTGTGCCTCCTTCGAGTGCACCGCAGCCACGCACCGAAAGAGTGGCGTAGTTGGTTGCTTATTCTTACTTCCAGGAAAACAAATCACCTTTCACTCAGTGCCTCAAATCTATAATGCATCTCATGCTACTGAGACGAGGTCTGTATCTCCCACCACTGTGATAAAAGAAATAAATATGGATAAATCGTTCAGCTGTAGCACCCTTTCGGTGCCTAATCCACCATGCACCTGAAGGAAGCACGAGGATTGGGATACTGCTCCAAGCTTAGACGGCAGAAGTCGAGATGTAGAGGTCGCGTTGGAACCAGGAACCTTCCAGTTGCTAAATTTGCGCTCTAACGATCGAACCATCTCGCACGCGTTATTTTTACTGACAGACCAGGACTATACAGCACTCTTCTTCGCACCAACCGCCTTCAGTCTGGTCTCTCCAAGTATTTAAGTCCATAAAGACGTGGACAACAGAAAGGCTCGCTCCGTTCTTTTGAGGGCCTGATTGATTGTCAGAGACTGGCTTGCGGAACCCAAGCCGCCTTCCCCAACCACGTTTCCTGTCTTCAGATCACACTTCTCCGCATATCCAAAAGCCTTTTCAACTGATTTCGGGAGTGAGAACGTAGTCCTAAGCGAACATACAATGGCCGTTTTGTAATGGATAAAGATAAAGATAAAGCGTTCAGCTGTAGCACCCTTTCGGTGCCTATCCACCATGCCACCTGAAGGAAGCACGAGGATTGGGATACTGCTCCAAGCTTAGACGGCAGAAGTCGAGATGTAGAGGTCGCGTTGGAACCAGGAACCTTCCAGTTGCTAAATTTGCGCTCTAACGATCGAACCATCTCGCACGCGTTATTTTTACTGACAGACCAGGACTATACAGCACTCTTCTTCGCACCAACCGCCTTCAGTCTGGTCTCTCCAAGTATTTAAGTCCGTAAAGACGTGGACATAATGGATACTTATTCAACACTACGCAGTGTACATGCACTGTTGCGAACTATGGGTGCGCTGCCTGGTCGTTGGTCTGGTTGCCGACTTCGATTATCTCAGAGCTCCCTTCGCACTTAAACGCAGCTGCAAAAAAGTCAAGGAGGTCAAGCCATGGCTTGACAGTGGATTGCACCAATCACCACCAACGAACTCAGCTGCGTTGCTGATTGTTACTCAAATGGACATATCGAGACTAGGCAAACCAAGGGTTGTAGACAAACGGTCAAGTTGTGCGCGCACTATCGAACATGCTTCCGAGCTGTGGCTTCCCCAGTTCTGTATCTGTTGATTCCTCCACGGACAGTATCAGCTACTACCTTCAATGTGGAGCCGTCGGCTTCTGTCTTCCACGTTATCGGCGAACAAAATCGTGATGGACATTCATGGTTTGCAGCTGATGCTGACGACCTAAGAAGTCCATGAACCTTACTGTTTGACCCAGTGCCGGTCAGCTTCTCAAATGACGACTGACGTATAAGTTGATGGGCTGCGAACGATGGAGGTGCTCATTGTGATGTACATCCACTTTGCGTTGTGGCTTGAGACTAGGCGTCAGGTTTCCCAGGAAATTTCGTTGAACCGATTTCTCATCGTCTTATTTCTAGCCGACTTACCTGTATAATTGTTTGTCTCCTCATTCCCCTTTACCTCCCGAAGCAGAGAAATGATAACTTTGCCTGTCGCACGTGTGATGATCTGGGTGTTCTGAATCCTTCTGCTTCGACTGAGCCTTTGCACGCAGATGTGTTGTCCAAGTTGGACTCGCCCTTTCTGGAGTTACCGGACCTGGCGCGTCAGGCCAAAGAAAGACACGAAGGACGCTCTGCTGCCGCAAGGTCGCAAAATGAAGTTACTGGACTCCCAAAGCGCTACCCTCTTGATATTGACGAAATACTTGAGTGAGTAGGGTTTTAGTGAACACAATATCATCCTTAAACGTGCAAACTTGCCTCTCATCCAGCCACTTCATTTGACATTCCGACTAGCCAGAGTTGACAACCTCGTCCGTTCTTACTATCCACAACCGATTTCACAATATGCTTCACTCGCACCTACTGACGACAGCTTTGTTTACACCTATTATAGTCCGATTTTGGATACGTACATGACCAGTCCGGTTATTGAGGTGTTCCGAAATAGTTTTTGCAGCCTTACGTGGAAAACGCATTAGTGTTCTACGCAGCTGTGAAACTTTTAGTGCGCAAGTCGGAACATAAATTAATGGCAAGTCGATGATAATAAGCTCGTTTGTTAGGGCTCCTTCGGACTGATACCCACTAGAATTTGTGGATTGAAGATTTTTCCATAACAACTCAGTGTGGACGCATTAGGTGAATCCTAATATTAGCTTTCACTGTCTATCACCGTCCAATTACGAATTGCTCGTCTCATCACTGTGTATAGTGGACGGAGTGAGCAATTTCGTACATTCAGCCAGATTAAGGTTGAAGTACTCTGTCAGTTACCTGACAACCAACCAATATGGAGTCGAACTGTGTTGCGCCACTGCACTGTCCGACCCCGGAGGTAGACGACAACAGCGACTTTGTTTGGAGCTGCGTGTTCTGTGGATCAGGAAGAAGGAAAGCCCCGATATACTACAGCAACTAAACCACCGGGGTTGTTTAGTTTCTGTAGAATCTGGAAGTTGGAAGCGGAAAATCATAAAAAGGTCCGTGTTCTTATATGCGGATGGAGATTAATAGTAGGAAATCATATTTCATACTGACACTGTCTCATCAGACGCGATGCAAGGTAGAACACATGCTGTACTTGTTAGGTCTCTGAGATCTCTGGACAACACTTAGCCTGTTTTGTCCTTCTTGGTGCTTATCATGCAGACCTAGTCCATTCCTACCTGAACATCAAATGGTGCCTGTGTTGCGATAAGCACTTATTTTCAAATTAACTTTAGGTTGACTAGAGATCCAGCTAAAATTCACCTTACACCGTATTTTGTTGAAGTGTACGTAGAAGCTGCTTTCATTTTCGTACATTCTTCAAGATAGATTCTGTCTATAGCTTTTTTGGTGTTCTGAGTATACGTTTTTGAGCCCTCAGCAGGATACGAACACCACAGTTTCATCGGGTGGCTGTTGGAATTTCGCGCTCCATTCGATGACATGGTTTGAAGCCCTTAAGGAGGCATATCGCCATTGTCCGGTTGCTAGTTTTCACAAATGCTGTTCTGTCGACCCAGATTTTTGGGTCTTAGCCCCGTTTCGTCAAGTTTAGCCTCTCTAGTGAGCCGTGTCTACAAAAACGAGCCAGGAACTATTGCTTATAAAACTGACTTGGTACTTAATCTGCTAATGTGTAGTAGTAGTTTGGTGTGATAGTGGCAGATCAACTGACTTGTGTGAACGGGTGTCTCATTTTTCTATAGCCGGACTTTTTAAAATATCCAAACAGATGAATGTAGATATCATAATTGTCGTGTTTACGATGATACCGTCTGCAGCCAGTATTGGACTTTCTGCCGTAGTCATTGCAAAACTGCTATCACCATTAGAGGGGAAATGCAATTGAGGTAGAGGTTTCAGGAGACAACACACAATGGTGATAGTGGGCAGTGTTCTGTCTTGTTCTTCTGCTTGTATTCTTTGATGCTCGTCATCATAAAAGTTGATTCCACCCGATGCGCCACTTTCCGCTCCGTTTTCCAGCTATTGCTAATCACCGATATTGTTCCTACTAGTATTATGCTAGGCAGTCAAGTGATATGAAGTTATTCCTGCCCTCAGACCGCCTGCTGTTATTTTCTACTCATGGTTCTCCTTTCTTGTCTGCTGCAGTAGCAGTAATGAACTCGTAGGTCGTCATGTGAAAACGACCTACAACCAATCCTTCCCTCGGTAGTTCACCGAATGTTTGCTTTGTTTTCAGGCAGCTGGTTACTTTCCTATGCATTTTTCGTTCTTCTCTGCGCACCCCGTTCGTCACCCTGTTATATTGTTGTTCTTTCTAAGGTGTTTGTTCGCATTATTCGCATCATCTCAATCATTTGGTTGTTCCAGAGTGCTGCATGTGCCTTTACCATTTTGTGCCAATTTCTTGCAGTTCCGTATCTTTCATCAAGCGAGGCAACGGTCTTTTGAATCACGGTAGTCGGCATCCACTTTTTAAAGGCCAGCATGTTTCAGCTTCATCATTCTACAAATCTCAAGCACGCTACCTTCCAGGTCATGTCACCAAACTCGGCCCACCTTTGGCCCCAGATACCGGGTTGTTCAAAGACTGGCACAAGGAAAATCATCCTGATTCAGTTAATCCATATTCTACTGGACCATTTTCGGGATTTTTGGATTTTGGTGGGTTTCATCTTCAACTGCATGTTTCTTTCAACCACCTTGTGTCACTATTCTTTAGTCTCGTTCCTCGCGTTAGTTCTTTGAGCCAACCACATGATGACCTTCGGTCACTGAATTCACTTCTGACTGAGGTCGTCTAACATCTTAACCACTTTATCGTCTTGTATATACGTCCTAGGCTGATGAAGATATCGAAAGTGTGCACTTCATCCCATCTGTCTCATCCCTAAATCTTCAGGACCTCCTGTACGACAACTTCCCTCTCATGGCAGACGAGCTCCGAACGGTACCAGTGGTCCGATTTTACACCGAACCGCACTCAGTGTGCCAAGGGGACAACCCAATCAATCGGCCTACCGAACACATGTTGGATACGGTAATAACGCAAAATCTCGCGTCGTAGGGGACCCTGTGCTCAATGGTAAGTACTTAATCCACACTTATTTATCCCGTAGTGGAAACAAGTTTACCGATTAAGTTGCACCTCTCCGAACCAGGGAGAGGTGTTTATTACAGATGATTTTTGTTCATGTTCACTAAAATGTCAGTTTTATGGAAGCCTGATTGTGGCGCGAAAGTTGGCTGTCATCTCATACTTCGCCGCTGAATGTCCGCAACTGTCTTTATTTACGGACTATGACCCCAGTAGACACAATTGTATTGCTCTCTACATTCGGATCCGACGTGCGATTCACTATTGACGCTTGTTCGCTGCTGCTCATTGCAGGCAAGTGGTTCGGCTCAGTCCAGCCTTCGCAGAATCTGAACTACCTGCTCACGGATGTAGCACCGCGTGGATCCAACCGATCGTCCAGAACTAATGAGGAGTCGGGTGTTTCAAGGAAAACTCCCACCGTGAAGCGAACAGGCGGAGGTAGACTCACACACGTTCGCAACACCGTCACTTCGCGAACAGATTGGACGGCGAAGTAAGCTAAATACTTTTAGAGTCATTGCCGGACATGACTTAATCACGTGCTCAATTGCGCGCATGAATCCATGATGTCGCCTTCAATGCATACTCTCCTTCACCCTTCCCCACTGACACCCATGCAATAACGCATCAATTATACCCGCTACCGCCTCCAATGCGTAGCTCTCTGCCCCTCTCACCCAGGATCATCGGTGAGCGAAACTGTAGTATCCATAAACACTGCACAGGTAGGCGGTATTTTAAAGCTGCTGCTGCTTCTGGTAATGATGGCGACGATTATTATGTTATTCCAACTCACCGTACTAACACGCTGCGAGCTTACGTGTGCATATCAGTGTTGGGTGACCTGTGCGTTTTTTCATACATAATTTATGCAGCGGAGCTGTGTGATTGGTCGGTAATGATCTGGTCGCATAGTGAGCTTTACCCATGTGTTCATTGCATGTTTTCACGCAAATTCCGAACTAAGCGGATTGTCACTATCATCCTAGCACCATGCAACCTTGAAACCATGTCAGACGACTTGGAGAAAGCCCTACAAAGATAGGGTATGACCTGATAGCTTATCGGAGACGGTTGAGAAGCCTACAAGTGAACGGCTCATTCAAGCAATCTGAAGAGAACCACGCAACTTCTAGTCTGACTGGAAAAGCTGCATTAACGCATTTATATACCGCGTTAAGCGACAAATTTCGATCTGTTGGCTTCTCTTGATGCAAAATTGAAGTTTTGTTAGACAATGCGGCACGTCGAGTATACTGTTGTGCTCGAGATACTCATCGCTTTATGATCCCGACTTTTGTACTTGATTGGTTTTACAGTGTTACAACACCGTCTTCATCTAAAGCCCTTTATATTAAACGCATGCTGCTTGATCATGGCCGTGCGGTAGTGCACAATGCCCGCTAATTTTAGACTATTTCTCCCCTCATATGGCTGCATTTCGGACGTGATCGAAGTTGCTGGGCGTTTTTGCAGTCATTTCAGAGAGAAAGAGCACTGCACAATAACAACTGTTTCTACTAAACTCGTGTTCAAATGTAGTTACCTGACATACATACGGTATTTCGGTCCCTTGGATACCCTTTCTAACAACCCTCGCTAATCATAAACGTACGAAAACTCCAACGTCGCCTACATTGATATTTGATTTCCGTCTCTTTTTCCTATCAGGTACTTGAAGTCCTAAGCAGCCAATCCAACTGCTGTGATTCCATTTGTGCAAGGGCAAGTTTAGCCCTTTTCCCCACCAGATTGCTGCATTGAAACATAATTTTGGTCGAACGAATGAATGAATAAACAATGAATTTCAGGATAAAGCATCGATGGCTGTGATCTACTATGGCTGGGATTTATATACTCAGGCTGTGAACCCCTCCCTGCCTTCGATCGCCGATATCGTTCGTGACCCATCCTCAATGTATATGACTTTAGGATCTATATGAGCTTCTGCCCAAGCAATCAACATCTTTCTTTGGGGATTTTTCAACTACGATTCATTTTCATGACCCTTGTTGTTGCACCGAGAGGTGGCCGAGACTGAACAACTAATGTATTATCCTTCTGATCTTTCCTCTGTTTCACACTTCGTTTTACTCTACCCTATTCTAATGCGGACTTCACACCACAAGTCCACTAGTTGTGGCGATGCTTTGGAGGCCCCTTCTCAACCGAAGTCCATGCATTTTCGCCTTCAACCGGTGCTTCTCATTTGCTAAGTTCTCTGTATCAGTCAAGTGGAAAATAATATACCGTAGAATGTAAATATTTCTGCTATATACAGGCAGCTTTACCCTGCCGGTCCGCTTTGTGAACCCCCCTCCCAAATAGTCGTGCCAAAAGACTGTCGCGTAAACCGTTCGTTGTATTGAATCACTCTTTGCTTCGGTTACATTCTGAACGATGTTCTGGTTTCCCGGGTTTGGGATTTTCAACTTCTCTCTGTAAATACTCAACGCAGTGAGATTAGGAGGTCGTCACTCATCGTCTGACCTTACACCACCGAAGCGATTTGATATTTTGTCCTCAGTTTACTCCATCTTGTACACATTTATTCAGGTGTTTGCTTAATTTTTGATTGAGTTGAGCAGTTGAGGCGTAGTCAGTTAATTTCGGGGTCTGTCAGTCTCGTGTAGCATGATTTTGAAGATGTTGTTCGACACCGCCATTGTCGTCTGCAGTTATGCTTTCAACAGCTCCCTTCTTAGACGCATCTCTGGCACGAATGCTTCTACATCCTTTGTTCCTGTTGGTGGAACAATATTCTTTTCTGGTGTCATTGCATGTTTTAGGGACTGAAAAGAGGCTCGGGCTGACTGCATGCCACACTCATTGAACTGCTTTTTGGAGTTACTCTAGTCTGTTTACCCAGGAGACCCCGAGACGGGCCACATCAATGGCTGGAGACATTATCAGACATGGCCCAGTCGCGCCCTCAATGGCGCTCATGCATCAAAGCTATTGCCTTCAATGCATAGCTCCTTTTCCACCCCCCGCTTGACAGCCCACTGACAGTGCTGGATTTATGCACCAATTTACCAGCTCGCGCGTGCAATGCGCAGCTACCTACCCCCCCCAATCATCGGTGAACGAAACTGTGGCAGCTACAACCAGTGTACGACGAGTACGCGGTTCTTACAGCTGACAGTGATGATGATGGTGATGTTTACCCAGGGTATGTCCAAGGCTCGACGGATCTAGGATCAGTGATTTCAAGAATGCTAGATTTTTTTTTGCATAAGTTGAGTTTTTCGGTGATGAATGCTCAAGTGTGACAACATGGTGTTCAGAATTAGAACATATAGTCGATAGATAGCGGCTACATGACGGCAAGTCGTTTGTCACGGCTTTCGGCTTTACTGAACGCACGCACTCCGTCCTATCAGTTAATTAAGTAACCTGGCCACTGCTAAGAAGATGGAGCTTGATTCACTATTTCATGAACGTGAATGCAACGTACGAATCATTAACCAGCAGATTGACGGGCAGTTCTAGAAGTTCTAGATGAAACCGATGAATAATCTCAAACGGAATAGGCACATACGCGTAGCAGAAGCGACTGTCATACTGCTAACACTTTGAGGCAACTCGCGTGGTTTGCAATAGTTATATGACAAGGAGGAGTGGGGAACTTCGTGCTTGTTGCAATACATCTAATTTAGGAAACCAAAGGCCATTAATTTTCATCCTGACAGGCTCATGTGGAGCCCAATGTGAGCAGTTGGAAAGCAGAGACATGAAATTACCGATTAGGAATCACTTTAAAACAGATAAGTTGTCCACGATTTTATTTATTACCGTCGAACCGCTTTGGAACTGATGGTTGACGTAGCTTGTTTAGCGCTCATCGTAGCGAAGTAAAATCTGCACTTTTTTCTTTTGTTTGTGTGCCTTTCCTGGGATACGCTATTTTGTTTGGATGCACAGAACTTCAGGTTGGCTGTAAAAAATGATGACTTTGTGGATCCCTGGTGGTCGAAAGGTAATGGAGGATTAATTTTGCACCAGACATGCAGGTAATGGAATTCCAACCATCGTTTTGGGGTTAGTACATTCATTGGCTTAGGAACTGGTCAACACTTTCGAAAATGGGCATTGGAGGCCGCTCTGATGCCCGATGGTTGAGGTACTACGTTTACTAACCTATGTTCAGTCGTTAGAGTCGTCCCCTATTTCGCTTGTCGGAGTTATCGTCGTAAGTCCCCTGACTCTGCCACTGTACACTACAATGTCTTATAAGCTGACTGTGAACATCTCTCATTAGAAATGAGATGTCAGCTTCAAACTCCTGGCGGTACTTCTAGTTTGCGATGTTCCAGAAAGTGTACTTTTAACGAGTCTTCAGTGCATATATATAATTTACCGTGCAACCAGAGTACACACTAACTGACATTAAGGAATAAACTGAAGAGTGTTCTATTAATTGACCTGAAATAAAACTGAAAATGAGCAAATGAAGAAGAGAATAACGATGTAGCTTCCTCATCCTCTACCCACCCTCTTAATCAGTTATACGATAGTTGCATGCGTCGGAACACTCGGAGGAGAAACAAATAAGTCTACGGAGCACGTTTACCGTGCAACTTTGCGCGGTTGTCTATTATTTCCACAGCAATTTGTCGTTTGCTGTCCACTTCTGCGGAATAGACTACTCTCTCATTGATACCTGCGCAACTTGCATCTTCATTGGGTACATGGGCTAGCCACATTTGTCTTTTATCAGAACGTGAGCGTTCCGTCACATTTTTCGGGTAATACCTTCAGTGCGCTGTACGCTTACTGCGGATTGGGACGGCACCCCGAAGGTGCTTGAGCAGGAAGATTTATTTACCGCGGTTCATTTCGGGTTTTTCTCCAGGAAATGAAGTGCACTGTTTCATTGAACATTGATTCACATTTATGCTTGTATGAGCATTCTACAATGCCACTTACGCAGAATGGCTATTTTCTTTTGCTAACAGTTGGACTATGAAAGCGTTAAAGCAATTCCTCTCAGTGAATCGGTAACGCTGATGGGATTATTGGCATCCAGCTCAAGGGTTTTTAACTTCATACCCCTTGTCGCCCCAGCTCAGTAGCTAAAACCATAAGTAGTCTTGAGTAGAGGTTGGAATGTGCACAGAAAATCTGAGTGGCCGCAATGATTTCCTTTCGGAAGCACCCCTCTTGGGGGCAGGCTTTCCTTCATGATGCAAGGACATTTGGGTTCAAGTCATCATACTCTCTTGGGGGCAATAATGAACATACTTCAGCGCAAGCGAGAGATTGGCTAGCATGTTGGAACGGATCCAATGGAACGGATCATGAGGTGAAAACATTTTCCTGATAAGAAGAGTATACCTTCCGGGAGGTAGAGCCTACTAGATGGGTAGAAGACTCCAACTGGATAGTCAGGACGGTAAAACCGATTGAAATCACTTAACTAATTGATTCTGTTTAAGACTCTGCTTTTGATAGTTAATTTGAACATTCTGCGCAAAAGTTAGCTCTGTTTGTACGAATATGTGCATGAGTAGACATGTTAGCCATCAATTCATTGGCCATTCAACAATGAAAAAGCGTCTATATTTTCCACCTGTTGGAAGGTTATCCTGCGTAATTTCATTGGTATGTAGATAGTTTTAATTTTTTTGGCCGGGTTTGGTACGCATGCTGTGTTCTGCATTGGGTGATCGAGGCAACTCGCTTTGCCTTTTCTCCCGATCAGCATATTCAAATCCCATTTCACAACACCTGTGTCGCTTCATCTTTTAGGTGTCGACCTTTTGAACTGAAGCGTATTCCGGTTGGTGCGAACTAGTATGTTGAATCACTGAATATTAAATTTTTCAGACCTTTCTTGGGTAAAAAGTAGATTTCAGTTTTGGCAAACAACAACAGGTTTAAATCTACCGATTGTCACCAAACTTTTTCGAAAACAACAGGTTTACCTGATAGGACGGCATAAAATGAAAACCTAGGGTGCAGTGTTCCCTTTCGCTAATCTCATTGGTTTTGATTTTTTTCATCCACATACTCTACGATGTGGCATGTAAATGAGGTGACTTCGTAATTCAGCCTATTGAAATGTCCGATTTTTACTGATCACTCGGTACTTTTACAGCCGCAATCCTATCATTCTTTTAGAGTGTTTCCGTGATGTCAGTAGACATTCTTCGGGTGGATCTCCTTTGTTGCGCGTGAGATGCTTGATATTTAGGTTGACTTGATGCACAATCGAAATCAGGTTTCGGAGACGGAAAAGTAATCGTATACATCTCGATGTATCGTGAATGGGTGTCCCATGAACACTAGCTTAATATCCAGATGAGCTTTTTTCACTAATTAGCCAAGCCATTGGTGGTGAGACAGAATCCACGATTTGCTTCAGCTTCATATTTCTTAACTGTGCTGTGAGGTCATCGTGGGAATAATAACATGGATACGTTTGCTTATATATGTCAGTGCCTTTACTGATCGGAATAGTTTTTTTGCTAATTTGATTCACGGATTCACGGGACCTGCAACTTTTATACAAACAAAGAAATCATACTTGCCACTTGGTGAATGAGACATGTTTTTCGGTTGTACAACCGCGGTCTTTTGTTGTCCTTTTTAGCTCAAATGGTGGATACAGAATTCAGCACTTCTGACGTAAGTTAGTTTATTAATTATGGCCCATCTATTTTCGACTGGCTCACCAGCCCTCATGATTTTTCTCGCTAATTCCCATCGGGTGTTGGCTGCTCCTCAGATTTACGCGCGTGATCGACCGTTCTGCCGGTTCTTCCGTGTGCTTCATCACCGGTCCATTTAATAGATTCACTGCACTCACACATTGTGCATAGAGATTGAGGTTGATCAACGCCAGCTCATATGACACGAGGTGCGTCATGCCAACTGAGGATGCTTGTGGTCCAGGTCCTCAGTTCATCGAATGAAACAGTGGACATTTGAACTAGCGAGATTTCATACTGTCTCACTTTCCTTTAGGTCTGATTCCTTTATTCTGGTAACCGTAACCAGGTTAGCTGAACGCTCCAACTAGATGGTTATGTTATTATTCCTCCGTCAGACATTGTATTCCCTTGTAGGGGGTTGGGAAGAGGATCTGTGGAAAAATTGGTGAAAAGCTGTAAGCAAGCAATTAATTGGAGTTTCTTTTGTTTGAATGCATAGGGCCAGATGACCCAAGTGGTTAGAGTGCGAATTTACTGACCAGGAGGTCCGTGGTTCGAACCCGACCTCTGCCTCTTGTCTCCCCCTGTTTTGGCTTGGGCAGCCTGGCAGTATCGCAGCCCTCGTGCTTCCTTCGGGTGGCATAGCATTTAGGCACCGAAAGTGTGGTACAACTGAAGGACGAATGTATACATTGATTATTAATCTTTTGGGGGAACGTGGCAGCTGAGTTGCAATTCAGTGTGCTCGGTATGTTTGTGTGTCCAACATCGTTCTGCACAGTAATTCATTTTTGGACTCAATTCCTTCGGAACCATACGCTTTTATTGCTAGCCATAAATTCTTCCTCGTCTGAATCATCTGAAAAGCTCAATTCCCCTTTTCCTGTAGCTTTTAGAAGATGACGAAGAAAAGGATACATCCGGAGACCGAGCCAGGAAACGAATGTTCACACGGGAAAGTTCGTAGACCTTGCGTTTCTTTATGGTTTCTTCCAGTTCGATCGATGCTGTATGCTTTTGGAGATGTTGAGAATCCGTTACCTGAAACGGTTGCAGTCCTAGAGGAGGTTGCCGTAAAACACATTATTCAAATGGTAATTAATCATCGTATATATGTCCACGTAGATCCATTTTGAACTCCAGCTAAATAGCGGTCCCTAAACATGTATCTCCAAGGGGTGTCTAACGAAGGAGTGTGTATACAACATCACTCCATTCTCGATTTGTGACGTGCAGCAAATTTGAAGACGGGTATTGTATTTGGATGTAGAAAATGATGTTTCTCTTGCCTCTATCTCTCAATTCTTCATCGAAGAGACTTTAGATGAAAGACACTCGGGCGCTCGCAATCGAATGACGTGCTTACCTTCTGCGCGACACCGAAAACAATACATTCCATGCCGGAAGCGTTTGTTATGACAGCTAGATGGTGGATTAAGAGTAGACACTATCTTGATAGGTGTTTTCAGTCTCCTTTCCCTAAAGTCAAAATGACTTAACTCAGTTGAAATATGTTTGAAACTGGTCGGGAAATAATCGTATCACAAAGTTTTGGTAGGCAATCCCCTGATTGTTTATCAAATCTTTCTCCGACGATCGGATCCTAATTCCCTAGTGTACTACAATTTTCTTCCGCCTACGGATGGGTTGTTTTTTGCTTGGTGATCGAGCTTGAGCACTGCGTTTATTCTACGGGTTCCATTATGGACAGCTTCGTTCCTGAGAGTTAAACCGATCTGGATAGTCCAAGAGAGAGCAGCAAGCAGCTCCCGTATAACAAGTAGTCGTATTACGAGACGGTTTTTAAGTGATGTTTCGTCCCATGCAACGGGAGCTTGAAGGCAGTAAAATATGTTCTTCGTGGGACTAGTATGTCCGTATTTGTGCAAGCAAGGATTTTTCCTTTCCCTAGGAAAAGATGGTTCAAGAAGGTCGACGTAGTGTTCGCGCACTCCGAGCGCCCAACATTTAAAGCTGACCACTGCGATTCATCCCATACAAATACAAAACGGTTACAGCCTTTCGAGAATTCGATGTGGCTCCAAACATACCTGCCGCGTGCATTAACTTCCGGGGTGAAACGCTTATGCTTTATTCTTTGAACCTTCGGACGTTTGAGCTGGTAGAACCGTTGAGTCATGGGCTCCGGGGCTGTTTATCCAAAACCCTGCTATCCGACTACTTTTCGGTCTAGACTTCTGTCAAAGGCAACGATAAGATCCGCTATTAAAATACTGAGTACGCTTGCTTTGTAACTTTGGCTAATAAGTCGCAGACCCAATTGGTGGCACCTGAAACAACCCCCTTCCTCGGACTGGTCCTCGAAGCCACTTGTTCAGCAGCCCCTCTTCACTCACAGCTCTCTCCGACTATGCAGGCCCATTTCGTGGCACCTGAAACAACCCTCTTCTTCGGATTGGTCCTCGAAGCCACTTGTTCAGCAACCCCTCTTCACTCACAGCTCTCTCCGACTAACTTATTTCAATTGTCCATATCTGTTTTGATGCCTAGTGAAATGAGACAGCTTAGATGTTTAACAAACACGGACGGCCCATTCAATTGTCCATAACTTATCTATTGCTTCATATCTGTTTTGATGCCTAGTAAAATCAGACAGCTTAGATGTTTAACAAACACGGACTCACACTCTTACTTTCAGTGTCCGTACTCTCCCGAATAGGGCTTAGACTTTGCTCTTCGTTTCTTCGGAACTGATTTCCCACTTCCCAATCTCCCCCAGACCCCAGGGCACTCAATAATGGTGTGGTAGTTGCGCTGAGAGCTGTGTATAAAGCCGTTTTATTATTATTTTACTCTGAGTATTTATATTACGTACTGTATTACCTTATTGTATATAATATGTATGACATATTGTTATCCGTATATTGTATTGTTATATTAACTACTATTTCAGTAAGTAGTCGCCATTGCGCTCTAAGGTTGTCTATCCAATTGGATTCAGTACAGAACGGAGCGGAAAATAATCTTCTGTCACTATATACCCTCTACAGGTAGCATTTCCGAGGCTGCGAAAGGTGGTTTCTATTGAAAACTGTCACAACTGTTTCGACTATCTAGAAATACAGGTACTTTTATCCCTGTGGGTAATGCGAACGCCGGAGCTGGATGGCTGAGCCCCCAAAGATTGCAGCTACACGACAGATTCCTAGTCGCTGACGCGCCGCTTGAATCTCCTCTGTTCTCTGATAACTTGGGGGTTGATGCGCTTCCGGGGGGTTAACGCACAGGCTCTGAGTACACGGGTGGTGTCCGTACATATGCAAAGTTCACAGTGTGGCCACAAAACTTGAAAGGCTCGAACCCAAATCCAATGCTTACGGACTAGTCGGTCAGTAGATACTGTTAGACTCGTTTATCTGGGCAGTCTTAGAACTCCTAATGGGCTGTTTAGAGGTGAGGTCACTTCTCGAATTGGCAATACCAGGACAGTTTCTGTCAACCGCCGACACCTGTAAAATAAACTTGTTATGATTAGATTGTATTCTGCGGTAGTCTGATTTATCAAAGACCTGACCACTCCACGCACACTATACGAAGACCTTTAGTGTCTCATCATCCATGTTTTTGAAGGATCGCTCGAGTCTGAGGGAACATGGGACATACAATTCTGAGATGCGCCAGACTATTTTAGAAAGAAGGAAGATACCTCTCTCGATGGGTGAGCTAGTCATACTCCACAGCGTAAGCTGTTTAGGCAATGTACGTCTTTAAGGCGGAATCCTGCGCCGAAACCACAATTATACGCCACTGCACATGCAGCTCATCTACACTCAGATAAAAGAGGTAGCTTTGACTATCATGTTCGCCGTTAAAAACTCATAAATGCTCTACGACCGTCACTATACCTTGTAGACCGACCACAAGCCGCTCACTGCAGCTTTTACCCGAAGAAGGGAATTCCGGTGTATACCGTCAACTCTCTCCCATGATGAACCACTCTTCTGGCACATGTCATCATGATATTTAGTCCGCCAACAGCCTCGGACAGTCCAACACTGTCGCATCTCATTGATTCAAGCAGAGCAAGAGCAGAAGATACCGTAACCGCAACAATTGCTTTGAAACCGGAGGTGAACCACCTTGTATCGGAAGTAGGTTGCATCCTCCCAGTGACTGCCGACATGGTCTGTCAGGCTACTGACTAACGTCGTGTGCTGCAGCAAGTCATCAAATATTCCGGGAGCCTGGCCGCCTACATGCTCACGAGATGACTTGGGATCTTACTTCGACCAGCTTGGTGCACTATCACTAGCCGATGGATGCCTCTTTCTTGGAACACATTGTCATTCCAAATGAGAAGTGCTGAAGCAATCTCACAAACGGCACCCGGGAACACACAGGATGAAGGCTCTTGCTTAAAATTACGTCTGTTAACCTGTGACTCCCGGGAGGGAGCAGGTTCCCAAATCTTGCCTGTGGTATGGTGAAGCGTCTAAGTCACCCGTTAAAGCCTACTTACGCTCGTGGTTTTACCAAAAGAGACGATGAAGCTTTGAGAGCCCTATGACACCATTCACTCAAAGAAAAGACAGCTGAGTCATCATTATCATCAACAGCATAGCATCAGTGTTCAATCCATTACAACAGGGTAATCGAGGTACGTGGATGAGGGAAATATTCATCCAGTGTCCCGGTGTGACCGCACGCTGCTTCAGCGAGGGTTAGAGAATGTTGTTCCGCAGACGCCTTAAATAGATATCAGAGCACATCTTTCGCCGGCGCGGCAAGGTCCTGTATGAGATTCAAGTTGGCCTAGGCTGTTAAATCCTACATACAATCCAAATCTGGCCGACAGATGTGCACATCCTGTCTCAAGGACTGGGTGAGTTGAGTCTCGAAATGCTACCGAACACTTGATCTCCGCACTACTACGTAATTCCGTCAGCTGCTCCGTTGAATGTCAAGCCTGAACACACAATACGACTGCGACGCTAGGCCAGTGGGATCCACAAGCCAGTGAGCCCCGACTTCAGAGCTATCTCAACAAACTTCGAAGAGGGGGTAGTAGGCGGAATCTTGCAACAAAGCCGCCTTACCGCTTGCAGTTAGGCGCCGCTAAGACTAAGGAGCTATGAGAGCTGTGACTCGCCGGAAAATGGGCCCTTGCTGGTCCAGCCTCTAGGCGATTTCTCAGTGATAGAGAATGTGGACCCAACAGACAATCATGATTCAGTATCCACTGAATGACGGTTGCCAATGGCGCATCCAGAGAGTCGTTGCGACGCGCTGTACGTGTTTTTTTACCTGGTTTTGGGCGTCTAATACACCTACTGCGTCCTTGTTTCTTTCGCTGAAAACGTTAGCTTAGGAGGACCAGACCAAAAAAAATTAAACCGAGGCACTGCCTTTATTACGACGTCGAACGTCAAAGCACTGTATGTCTTGTGGATCTTTTTTGCCTCAGTTATATTCTGGTTGGAAATATCAGAGAGCCCACAGTCTGAGGACTGACAGATTCTAAAACCCTTAACCAATAAGTTCATTGCTCCCCAGATAGCACCGCTGGACGTGACACACATGGTTCAGTTACACAGTCTGTGGCGCCTTCGCATCAAAGCTATGTCTTTTGTAGGCCCGTTTCTCTCACGCAAATGGAACAATCCAACGCTTGTCAACCTATCAGGCCCAGCCTGTCTATTCTCATTTTCCAGTGAACGAAACCGTAACAGTTGAAACAAACGTTACACTATATGTCGCCGTAAATCAATCCAGTTTGTTAACCAAATTAAAGCTACTGCAACGGCGCAACTACCAACACACGCATTTTAGTCAACAGTCGTGGATATTTTAACTAACCAAACGTAACAACCTACCCTAGGATTCAAACTTGAGTTGGCCCTACACACCAGTATTCCCAAAGTTCAATAAGCTGGACAGAACTCGGATCCGCTGCATCGACAACCGAACCTCATAAAAACATCACTTAGATCACCCGCGTTTGAGAAGTTCCTATCGATGGGTCATAAGTATTAGCCTGTTAGTGCAGCAATTTGGACAAATCGACTCAAGTTCACATTTTTCGTCCGGAAATCACAATGCGGAAGTTCACACATTAAGGGCAGTTCAACTACCAAGTAATTTGTCGTATCTTTTCTTTTCGGTGTTTGATGGAGGAAACCATGCTCAAGAATATTCTAAACGTCCGGGTCACATTTCCTTATTTCTTATTCATTACTAGGGGCTACCACATGACCACTTTGACCTTGAGTATGTAGAATTTTTTGACATAGTTGAATGGCTTTGAACACGGTCTGTATTGCTTAGCCGTCGGTTACCCTGACAACCGACAGTACGGCATCCTGACAGAACAGTGATCATTGTGCGTTTTCTCTGCTGGTCCCTTCAGTTAATCGATCCTTTTTAAGCGTTTGTTCTCTATTCTTGTTTAGATGATTGTGATTATTTTTAGCCGTCAGGGGAGAATCTTGGGTTAGGATAGGGTAAGATTCAATAGTCATACCTTCTACTGTAGCTCAGCAACGTGAAGCTCATGTTGTTGTTACGCCATCGTTGTCAGTTTCAAGAATTTACGCGCAATTCGCATGCCTCACCTTTATCTTGGGGGCCTTTTTCGGAATTGACTGGTTGAATCCCCTTTTCACATAGCTGTGCGCTTTGAAAATGATACATTCGACGCTGTTCGTTTTCATTAATAAATCGCGCGTTTTCAGATGGCCGTCGGTGGGGTTGGCTGTGGAGCTGGAAGTCCGTTCAAGTCCATGCCACGTTTGGGTTGTATTCGAGATGGCGCGAGGTTTTCGGCGTCCTGTCTTGGTGATCCATGACTGCTGACTTCCCTTTGGGTATACTACTAATATTTTTATCCTCGTGTTATGATTTTTACGGCTGCTGGGCGCCTGAAGGATGCGGGACCTGAACTACTTAGTGCTGAGGAAGATTCCGGTAGCTCATGTTTGTTCTCTGACGTAGGTACTTTATTCAAATCGACACCGTCGATGGGAATGGTATCATCAGTACATCGTTAAGTTACGGTTTATCAGTGTTTATACTTGATGAGTGGTTAACTGGAGCTGATTGGCTGTTTGGTTAGGTGGCTCTAATGATTAGTTTTCTATCCCGTGTTCTCATTGGCCAATGGTCAGGTGGCCGTTAATTTTGGCCTCCTACTTCCATTCGTTGGCCGGTGCTGGAGCGATCTCTGCGCTCGATCTCTCTTGGTTCCACGCCGTGAGGGTTGCTTGCGTGATTTCAAGAAGGATCCTGTTCCTTGGTTTGTCAATCCGATAATCAGGTCTATTTCAGTATTCTTTACGCGTGCGTTCGGTGTTGGAGCGATCTCGGCGCTCGATCTCTCTTGATTCCACGCCGTGACGGTTGCTTGCGTGATTTCAAGAAGGATGCTGTTCCTTGGTTTGTCAATCCGATAGTCAGGTCTATTTCAGTATTCTTTACGCGTAGTGGTGCGTAAGTTGAATCCAGTTCAACGTACCTGTTGGTCGAACCTATCCCAAGTTTCCAGAAATTTCACTCCGTGTTTGCTGTCTCCGCTTGCCAAGATTTTCACGTTCCCGTCCATAAGCTGCTACTTTTCCGAGATGGAGTGCTTTACTGACCCTGCAGGCTACACGGAACTCAGTTTCACAAGCGTACCCATATCAGAAGACAAAAAGGGAACAGCCAGACGAAGGGCGGTGTGTATCTGTAAGACGGGGTGGTTTGAAGCTGTCATCGTGCTGTCCTCCGCGATTGTAGGTTGAACTAAGTAAAATGCTTCTTCCAGGCGACCAGTGGTGCTGCCTTCCTACGAGGATGGACAGGTTATGAAGGTCAGCTCAAAAATCGCACAATCACATCACCCAACGGTTGTCCGTAACCACCAGTCGAAATACCTTTAAAACCTGCAAACTTCCGGACGTATCCCCCATGTACGTTAGCATCAAGAGTGAAACATGTATACCTTCCACCCTTTGGCTGGACCGGTCCCCTTGCAGCATAACGAATCACATTAATATGGCGTGGGTTCCGATCAGGGCCGTTACAATGCACAATTACAGATGTTTGGTAAGGAAATCTCATCTAAGCGTCATCCACATCCCACAGATTATTCTAATGTCATACCAAATTATTATATTGTGTCCGTGTGTCCTTAGTGTTTTCAGTGTTTCTTTTAGTAACCTCATTCATGTTTCTTATACTCTTATCTACAAGATGGTTATTCTTTATCGCACCAATTCCAGATAGCCGCATCATGGTAAACGGTTTTCATTTCAAGTAAATTATTCATTTTAAATGAATCTTTCAGACGCGGAAGGCCTTAAAAGTCGGACGGTCCGGGAAAATTTCTGTTGATGATATGCTCTACTTGGTCCGACGAGATCCCAAGAAGTTTTCACGTGTCAAAGAACTTCTCCTGCTAAGTGAAGAGCTTCGTCGTGCGCGAAAGGCATTTGAGGAAGATGAATTTGGTGTGCTGAAATAACGGGTTGTTTTCGAGGTGTAATTAAACAGCAGCTGTAAATAGACTTATTTCCTAATCTCAACATGTTTCACACAACAGTGACAGAATAAAAACCAAGTACCCTTGAACAACGGTTTTGTTGCCCCCAAAATGGCCGGGATTAACCAACAATTTGCAGAATTCGTGGACGTGTGAATCGACCAGTTCAACTAATAAAAACAGAAAAGCGATGGATGAATGAGCTAGCCTGGAATTGGTTAATTTACTTTATTACAAACATATCCTCCAGGATTAATCGGTTTCAATGAGGCCAAAATAATATAATGGTGGTTTCTTGTTCGTGACTACACTGTCCTCCCATAAGCGCGAAGTTTTGCGTTCAGCATCATGTGCTTGAAACCTAAAGACACAAGACTAAACGTGGGTCTTCGTTTCAGAAGGGCTTGGCAAATAGTCAGTAGTTTTCTATTTGGGCAACGTTTCACCTATGACACAAGGGCTTCATAAGTTCAAGTGAGCAGGTCACCAAGTTGGCCAGGTTTTAAGGCAGACGGAAAACCAATCAGTATGACGTCTTCATATTGGCGCACTAGATCAGTGTTGAGTGTCAATTAACGGCTCTTGTCGGCTAGTGTCGTCAAAATCTCGCATTCCTAGATTGAAGGAGTTTCAAACTGGTTCTGATTGGAAATTGTTCGAAACCCCACGGCTGGTTTCGCCCCTCTTGGGACTCATCAAGTAGGCGCAGTCCCCGAGTTTCCGCCAACCCACCCCACCCCCAACTAAATTGTCGCACACTCAAAAGCCCACAAAGACCAACGAAATCTAACACCGGCAACCGCGGGGAATCACCAATTGAAGTGGAAGATTAGGGAACCAAACCCAATCAAAATTAATTTCAAACTCCCCCAATCTATCAGCGCAAGATTTTGACAACTACACTAGCCGACAATAACCGTTAATTGACACTCAACACTGATCTAGTGCGCCAATATGAGGACGTCATACTGATTGGTTTTCCGTCTGCCTTGAAACCTGGCCAACTTGGTGACCTGCTCACTTGGTTTGATAAAGCTTTTGTGTCAAAGGTGAAACAATGTCCAAATAAAAAAACTGATTGTTTACCAAACACTTCTGAAACGATGACTTCTCAAGCGGTTCCAACTTTTTTTCTAATAGAGTTGGTTCTGTTTCACTTAGGAATAAAAATTATTTGTGGGCGGTTGTGGGATTTGTAGCATCCAGATCAAACGGTCCCCCACATGGTATGGCCCACGTGTGAGTCAATATCGCATTTGGCTTTCACTCTTAGGGCCCGCCAACATTGCGGTGTAATCGTATGAAATCCGAACTTCTGGCATGCGAGGCGAGCGTGTTACCACTACTAGTCAAAAATTGGCCAACGGTTTCAAACGCCGTGGTGCTGACTGCGACGGGTCCCTCGGTTGACACGCGGATAATTAATTGGTTGTTTTTTGAAGCAGGCAAACCAAGCGTGAACACGTTCACACGACCTAATTTGATCCAGCGATATCCAACTGGAATCCGAAGGCTATAATGGATGCCAATTGGTCTGTAGGATGTCCGGCACGACTGAATTAAGGCATTTTTTATTGAACTGTGAGGCGGTGACACAAATGCGCTTTGATTTTTGGTCCTCGGCCAACAGTGTGACACTCCAACGAGGGTGAGTTCTCGCCACAGGCGATGTCCCTGATCGGTGATTGGTCGTCGTATTTCACTACTGGTTAGTAGCTAGACGTAATTCAGAATGCGACACCATGGCCGTTTTATCGGTAGCGAATTACTACGTATTCTGACAGCGGTCTCAGAAATTATTGTACTATGTACTGGGTGCAAACACCTGGTATCTGAAGTGTCTCATAATCCATTGGAAATTTTGTGTAAACTTTCAGTGTTTGACGGCCAAGTGTTTACGCTGGGACGTTTTGCCTCTAGGCATTCACCGGCATTATAGGACTGAGTGACACGTAACGGTAGTCTAAGGAACTATGCACCACATGCCAAAAAAGCCAGAAATGGGTATGCCACCTGATTTCGCAGCGCGAAACTAGTCCGCTACTAGTCGTACTTAAGGCGAAATGGCTCAGTGGTCAGAGCGCGAATTTACTGACCGGAAGGTCCGTGGTTCGAACCAGACCTCTGCCCCTCGATTCCCCCTGTCTAGGCTTGGGCAACCTGACAGTATCCCAGCCCTCGTGCTTCTTTTGGGTGGCATAGCAGTTAGGCACCGAAAGGGTGTTACAGCTGAGCTATTATTATTATTAGTCGTATTGTGATATCACCAACTGGATATACCACAGGCTTATTGCGATGTTAACTCGTAGGTATTTTTGTTCCGGAAGAACTCCCACTGGTCAATAATCCATTCGGACCGGCCAAAAACGTCCTGTTTCCGGATGCAGTCTTTCATGGGAGGCACAAGCTTCTGAGGGTAGTTCGTATAGCAATGTGGAATGCTAAACAGATGATGAGTTAAGCATTTTTTGCAAGTGATTGTCCTTGTCTTAAGGAACAAACGGTAAAGCTAACTAAACTTCCAGCTTACGCTGTTTTGTGTCTGTTAACTCCTACTACACATCTGTCACCATTGTGGTTCGGGGTTGCACACACTGTCGCAAGTTACATCGGTTTGTCAGAGGAAAGCCTGCGAAACATTGAGCCAAATGGGCACATTTATGGCAGCGGGTCACAGAATCCCATCATGCTTTATCAGTTTTGGTGACGTCACGCACTCAAGTTGCATTGATATCTGTGCCATCGGTTTACCTCAAACCATGCGACAGTTCGCCCGTTCTGCCTGGCACCGACTCTTCCTCATCAAATGCAGCACATAGCCATAACCGGAGCAGATGAAAAATGCATTCGGTCATGCTTAACGGGAACTCGAGCAAGTTGCTAAATTACCACGGGTTGTGTGCACTGTTCTCCAGTACATGCATGAGTCGTCGACTGATCGAGGTTGAGCATTCGAGCCGTTATTTGTCTCCACACATCGCGTGGTTGCTTCACCAACGGTCTGCCGTCTTGTTACGCTAGACAACGGGTATGGGGGAATTACAGTGCTTGGTACAAGTCAACGTTCGAAGGTTGCTGTGCTTTCTCGTATTTGTGTTTAACTTCGCTCCACCAATTATTTTCATACCACCGAAAGACGGCAAATCAATATATCGTGGAGCAAAGTGCAGTCACCAGCATTCTAGAATGTGACAGTCGCATTCTGTAATACTAGTATCAACGACCTGACTCTACTGCTGAATTAGGTCAATCATTTTTGGGTTGTACGACCAAAGACCGTGCACGAGCCGCGGATGAAACGGGAAAACTGACAACGGGTATCCGAGATGCACGGGATTAGAGGGGTCGGTGTGCGAATGTAGTGCACATTTAAAACTATCACGTTGACAATAATTGCGCGGACCATGAGAAGTAATGATTGAGTGACATGAGTTGCAAGCTGAATACCTAGGGAAGACAACCATCAGAGACAACAACGCCATTGTTGACGCTGGTGGTTCACTGTCATGCGGCGACAAACCGGTGTATTTAAAGCCCTAAAATGAAAACATTCGGAAAGACTGGATGGGCGAGGGACATCGCGCTAGTTCATGTTAGGCATTCGAAGGTACCTGCATTTTCAGGAGCTCAGTTCGACAATCCAGAAACAGACTGACGATACAAACGACAGGGATAATGACTGTCGTCATTTCTTGCAATGTCTCCAGCGGAGCGCAACGTTCTAGATGACAGATTTTGACAGCACCAAACTCAGCAACAGAGCAAGCCAGACTTTACATACACTTTGGCTCAGGTCGTATCGCTTTCATGACTATTGCGCTCGATAATTTTTCAGTGTAAACTGCAAACTTTTGCTGTCTTGCAGTGATATGACCTTGGATGGAAGGATAAATAGTTGCGATGATGAGAAAACGCACAATATGGTCCGGTGTATTATGAACTGCTACGGTACATGTCGCTGACATTATCTGCCGTGCTAGGTCTTTCGGTGAATGATATAGATTATGCTTTGAGGAATACATCAGGAGAAAAGGTAAATATGGATTTCTATGGATCCTGCGAGAAGCGCTTCAAATCGAGTCTCGCCAGATATCGTTGTTACAGCGATTTATTGCTTGTTTTGGATGCACAGTTCATGTGACAATAGAGTGAAACGCCGAAATCGTTAAACTGGGTCGTTGCGGTGCTAATAACTAGAGGTAACCAAGGCCAATAATAACTTCATGATAACGCAGTTCTGCCTGAAGAAGTGACGTCAGTTCTAGTACAGTTCCAGCAAACATCGATAGGAACAAACCTAGTTACTTCCGGATGGCGGCGAACTGTATTCCTACAACTAATTCATTCAGAAGGGTATGAAGTTCATGATTTCGACTTCAGCAGTGTTGAAGGGCACGAAGTTCATGATTTCGACTTCAGCAGTGTTGGTTGATTCATTCTGAAGCGGACATCGGACTTCGAGCTTGCACACTAGTCAACAGTGAGCGATAAAACAGAGTGCATGGGCTTCTGCATAACCTTGGACACTTCGCTCCTGTTTCATACAATTTAATCATGTGAATTTTTCGAACTACGTAGGCCGATACGCTCTCAAAGTTGGGTGATGTTTCGTTTTGTGTGTGCAACGCTTTTAAGTAACCTACCACCGTAAAAATGCAAATTAAATCGCCTAGTAAGTTGGCGTCCATTTGTGAGTTGCACGCAACGTAAACCTGCGTTCCTTTGTGATTTTGAACACTTTTATTGACTTATGCATAGAAACATTATCAGAGATAGCAACATCCATGTTGACACTGTTGTACGACTACAAGGTTTGTTTAACTATATTAAATTCACTCACAAATTTTACTGGGATTCGCTAGACACCATTTCTTGCTACGCTTCCAGCCAAGCTTAGAGGTCGGGCCAACCACATCTTAGAAGGCGGATCACACCAAAAATAGCCAAGGTCCTCCTCTTCAACACCTTTCTGTCAAGTCACACGTTATCCACCCAACATCCTGTGCAGTTCTTAGTTACTCCCGGGGACACATACCGCATTTAATCGTGCCGAATGTTTCCTGTGACTAATGCAGCCCCACACTAACACCAGTTATCCCGTTACGAGTTTGTTGACGCCATCCGAATTCAACGACGCTCTTGAGACAACGGATATCTAAAGTCCGTAAACGCTCTAGATCAGTTACCCGCCGAGGCTGTCTCGTAACATTACAACACCGTCCGTAGCCTGGTAAATACAACCTTTGAAACCCAGTGATATGCCTTTGTGGTGCCGGAAGCGATCTAAGTGGTGATACGTGGTTTGCACCTTTTGGTATAGTGCGCTGACTTTAGCAGGCACACTTTCGTCAGAGCTAACACGACTTCCGAGGTATGTAAAATCCCCCACTGCTTACCCTTCAATCGAAAGAGGCACGTTCAGAAACGGCACACCATAGAGCATGAGTTTAGTTTTTTTTTAGGTCCGAATGCCTGCTAAGATATAGTGTGATGACCACTTTACTCAAGTGTTTGTACTTGGCCTCCGTCTTCAAGAATTATACTGATAATGTTTGCACCAGCAACCATCCACACACAAGTCCCTATTAACTTCCTCGATGACGAGGAATTACGGATACTTTCCGGACACCATGTATTGTAGGGAGGCTTTTAGAGAGCTTCCCATACATTCTCACAAACTTGGAAGTGGGTAAGCATGAGGGGCCGATCATGTTTACACGAATTGCCAGAAACACTAACGATAGACACAATAAGAGTGGTGACGCTTGAGTAGGATCATACACTCAAACGCCTCAGAGGCTAAAGAGTGCTCCATATTCACGGTCCCCATCAAAGATTGACAGCCCAGATGGGAAGTAGCAGGTGAACAACTGCTCGGTTGTCCGAAAGTCCGCCTTCGTTGGATAGTAGAGCCAATGCGGTGAATGATAGCTTACTGGTAAGAGACCTCGGAACAGCTAATAAACGAATCAAGTGGAACAAAACTAAGGAGAGTTCCAACTTTTTTCGTTCCTTCTTTTTCTGAGATTTTATTGGACCGGGCTTTGGGTGATGAATATAGTTGTTTGGGGTTGCGACCGGAAGGAATATATCGTTGGGTCAGCTGCAGAACCATAGTCGTATCAGAGACCCAGTACTTGGAAGAGGCCGATTGGACTGTGCTGCAGGTAGATTTTCGGACGTCAAACGCTCGTTACCACTCGATAACTGTAAGATGCCGAAGAGTAGGTTGTAATGAGTTTGTGTGAACTGTTATGGGAAGTGTAGGCAATCCTGAAAATTGCAATTAAGTGCGGTAAGGTAGTCCATGCAGGTATTTCAGAAGGGGCTTCAGGTAGTGATCGATCTGCACCACCAGCAAATGATGGCAGTATAATCCGTTTGAGTTGCGGGTATTTGGCTGGCGGCCGCCACACCGTCAGATGATTTCTGCTGTCCAGGAAATTGGCATTGCAAAGAAACAGTCTATGGTCTACACACAGCTGCAATGGCTGCCATCCGTATCTCGCGTAATCAAAAACGATCACCTAACTGAACCTTAGCGGCTCCAAGCCTACCTATATGAGCGTTCATGTTACTAGCAGCTAGAACGATGCCTGAGTCTCCCGCTCGCTAAAAAAAAACACCCATGCGTCATACTGTCATAAGCTACACGTGTATTCCGCATGTAAGAGGACCTCTGCCTCGCACAGCTCTTTTCGCTTAGCCGTATGCTGAATGGAAACAACTGAGAGGTGACAGCACATGACAGCCGCAGCCTCCCCAGATGGAGTCCCCAGGACTCAACTCACCAGTGGTTAGTGACACAGGCAAAAATGACCCGATCGGACAGTGGCGCTGGTGCATCAAACCTATCACCTTTAGTGCGTAGCTACCCAGTTACAGAACTAACTGAACACGCCATCTCCTCCGATGTTTGGATGTATCTCCAGGGCTCTCCCATTTTGTGGTGGTTACTGGAAACAATGTACTCATGGTACATGACTTATAGCTGATAAATTGAAACTGATTGAAGACTGTCTGTGGAAGATTCCAAGCTAGTCTCTCGGGTCATATAAGTAGATACAACAAACTGAGAGCGATGAACCTTTCTTGCTCGGGACTCTCAGTGACGTATCTGCTCGGTAGCCCAACATCATACCCACCCTGGCATATCCCAGCTTCGTGGTCTGCGTGCCATCACAGGCACACCCCGAAGCAGGAAATGAGCAACAGGATAATCATTTCAAATACTGTATATGCATTTCTTACAAGGCAGCATGCATCGGTGCACTGTACGGACAATAGGATTTTATTGTTTAGGATGAGAATATTAGAGGCAGCTAAGTAGACTACCTTTTTGGGTTCACAATTCTAGTTCCCGATATTTGGGGCTGCTGATAAAGACGGAAACGCGGAAATTACCACCAGGGGTGATGCAAAACGAATAAAAACTGTCAGTACTGGTGCTGGGATCAGCGAAGATTTTCTGCAATCAAATGGGGTAGTTGGAGGTATAAGAGGCGTCAGTAGTAGCCTATTTTGGTTTAACCGCACTATTATGTGCAGCAGGTAAGGTGAACTGGCTAATAGAGTTCCGCGACGGCTAAAGTGGCATAAGAGTGCCTTTGGTTGTGGAGCTCACGGCTGTGCGCCAGCTAGGATAAGTTCAGGGCGCCAACAAGACCGATTAGGACCATCCAACCCCTGACTCAAAGCTTGACCGCAAGGCAACGAGTGAGTGCCACAATGCTTCCATAGTAGTACAAACTGTTAAGCAACTGATCGCGGTTGGTGTTCCAATCCAGTCACTGTGAAGCTCTCCCACAGTATGGCTTATTGGGTCATAGGGACACACAAGCAACATGATAAGGTCAGCTCCTCGGACAACAAGGTCTTTGGGGTAGTTCACCAAGCCATTACCAAGTTTCGCCGAATATGACCAAAGAAATCCTTCATCGTTCATTGTGACATCAATCAACCTGACCTTAGTTGGTACCTTCCTTTTAGCTAAATAAACCCCGAGATTTAGACACCGCATGAAGCACAGTCCATGGGCTTAACCTTGATCAGACCAAGCAACGATTTCGATACCAAACTAGTAGTTAGCCATGGCATATGACCCGATTCCGATGAGGTTTAGAGAAACCATTAACACTGGCATAAACGAGACAACTGCAAGCCTGTTTTCGAGCGACTTTAGCTTTCAAAAGTAATCTGACAATGATCTCACAAAAGCTCAGAAAAGTGGCACGGTATAATCGTCAGACCTACTCGGGAATCAAAACAACTGCTCGTTGTCTAATTGTCCAAGGGTGTGCGGTGTACATTACCTCCGACGGAACTCACCCAAAAGAACTGTGGAATTCCCGATTTGCCATGCCACGTCATTTCCAGAATGACTGACAGCATTGTCCTGTAGCTGTTTTATTACTCAAACCAACCAGAAGGTCCGCTGCGCGAACCCAACCCAGGAATCTCGACTGCTATGCTCCAAACCTGGGTACTTTGGCAGTATCTTGGCCCTCGTGCTTCCTCCGGGTGGCACAGGAGCTAGGCACCAAAAGGGTGTTTCAGCTGAACTGATTTTATTAGCCAGAAAACCAAGACAGCAATCAGGGACGAACTTTTCTGCACTCGGTGAGAAATTCCTGCAATTCCGTTCGTTGAACATAGGTGGTAAAAAAACTTGCGGTTTTTGATGCAACGTCTCAAGCCTTGTTGAAGAAAGCCACTTTATTGGGTGCATGAGGTCTCAATGGGAACGAAACACCGTCACCGTCATCCAACCGTATTGTGAGGATGTTTCCACCACGATGTCCATCACCACTAAGACTTGGTCTCGAAAAACGGGAGTGCATGAAAGGTAAGCGAAAAGGACCTATACGGCCGTATCGCCAATTTACCAGAGGTGCGATTCAGAACCACTTAACAGTGATGTTGAACACCCTTCTCAAAGCACACCCAAGATGATACGGTTGTTCTGCAGACGGAAGGTCTCCGCGGAAAATTTCGACATTCCTTTAAGATGGTCTTTTGTCGCAGAGTAAAATCTCAGGTATAACAACGATGCTAGCGCGAAAGTCACAACCCTGATAGCTTATTCTCGTTATTCCAGGATGGACCAGATTCTTGATTGCTGTCCAAATAGTATTCCTCAAGGCGAATCAGCAGACTGCCGGGTAAGAGGAAGGCGGTGCTGGGAATACGATCAGCGCCAAATCCAAAGAAAGGCTGGAAGGTAACCAATAGAGCACGCAAGAAACAGCAGGCAGTATACCAAAGTGTTTTATGGACGTTCGGAAAATGGAAAACCGCTGGTGGAAGGGTATTGTTAAATCGCACAAATTTTCCAGTCCATGATTGATAACAATCCTAAAAATCATGAGGAATCAAAGATCCATAATTCAGTGAAAATACGGTAGTTGCTAAATTTGACCGGTTCTTAACAGACATCCAGGACTGCACCATAGGCGGACGGCTCCAACATCAAAATATAAACTGAAACAAGTGTGGTGTATTCATTTTCCCAGAACGGCAGAGGGGTTGTAAGTGAACCCAGAGAATGTGTCATCCATAAAGAGGGAGGTGTCGGATCGTCCAAGGCGTTCGATTGAATTAATGACAGATGCTGCGGAGAGAAGATAAGTGAAAGCGTCAAGTTCATGCGACAAGCAACTTTACGTTAACGATCCTCAAACAATTAAAAACAGGGGGTGTAGAATGCTGCAGAGCGAGTTGAACTTCATTGCCATCCAGTAAATTAGCCGGAGAAAATTCGTATAAAGATGCGAGTAACATTAGTGTTAACGAATAGTGTGCGCTGCCAAACGAAGATGTCGTAATCACTGTATCGTGATTTGATCACCTGCGTCAGCGTACAACTGTACGTATGGTTTTCAGGAAGACGGGCTGGAGGCAATTGTAAGTGTAACAGGGATCCGCAAGACTACCTATGAATTACAAATTCAGGAATAACGTTAAAAAGACCCGGACGTTAACCTAATAAAGCAAACTGGTGGAATTACGAACCGAATGCGCGTATCAGCATTTCTCACTAACAAGTATAGCGACCCGATGTACTATTCTTCAGAGAATATCTATTTCGTCGAACTAATTAACGGCACGGAAGCTGTGAAAAAACACAACAGACTTTTACTACTGCTAAGAATCAGGTAACACTGATACGTTGGTTCCGATCGAAGATCCGATAGTGAGTGAAATAATAGCACAATCAGTATCGTTTCACGCGTACAGTTGTGAAAAAGGTGGTTAATGATGACGTACAAAACCATGGACTTTGAGATAGCTAACCAGGATTAGTCGATATCACACCTTTCTAAAATTTCGGGCTTTATTCTTACATCGGTTAGCCAATGAACCCCAACGTTCACCAAACTCTTCAACCTCATCATTCCAAATCCTTCTGGTCCGGACACAATCCTTCCGATTTTGTGTTGAATTGGTGCACCAGAAAATAAAAAAAATGAAATAATCGTCCAGCTGCAACACCCTTCCGGTGCCTAGCTGCCATGCTACCCGAAGGGGGGCTGGGATACTGTCAGGTTGTCCAAGCCTAGACAGGGGAAGTCGAGAACTAGCATAAATCACAAAAATACCTTATTCTGAATCGTAATTCCCCACCTGACCCGACCCGAATAGGTACTGCCCGATCTCTATCATCCCCATCTCAAATCAACCCTTGCTGTGGATCCGATAAACAAAAGCGAAATTTACTCAGATGCCTCATTGAGACAGCTATAAAGATATGTTCTCGCGAGTCCATCCAAAACGATATAAAACGTTTAAGGCACATGATTTTCGTGATTCCAAACTATGCAGTCTACAAAACGGAGCCAAAAGCACGTTACTGGGGAAAAGCATCGCCATCAGCATCCGAAACAGCAAAATCAGTGTCGGTACCGAGGATTCACTGCTGTACAAACACAAAGTTTATTCAATTAAAGTGACAAAAAACAGTGGACAAGGGAGGGACCTGGTTCCAGCCTATCGAAAGCATTCTGAGGTGCCTACACATTCAAGCGCCCAATGAGAAAACCTTGAAAGGAAATGACAACACGAACGCCACTGAGACGAATCAGCCGCCATTTCTTGCAATGCATTTAGCCAAACGTAGGAAGGGTCACGGGAACCAAAACACCCAAACTATTTATCATCGCTCACATCTTTCACAGTTTGTGCGATTCTGAAGGAGGTACTGATAACACCAGTCTTGGTAGGCGATGTAGCACATGGGCGAGGTGCTTTAGTTGATGGTGCTGGCGGTTTTCGGCGATTGAATTACCTACAATCCAACCCAATTCCCGTTTTCCAATCACCTCGTTATTAATCCGTTGATGCCATCCAAAACCAACAACGCTTCTGCGGCATCAGTGGTCAAAAACCTCACATAATCTGTCAGCAGAGGCCACGCGTTGCAGCTACTTACCGTGGTCTGTTAAACGAGACCCTTAATACCCAGTGATATATCTTTTCGACGCCACAAGCGACACAAACCGACATGGGTGAATCAGGCAATCGAGATTCGTGCACTGACTTCATCAGATACACTTCTGTCAGAGGCGCCACAACTACCGAAGTAAGCTTCTCCACACCTTCCATAGATTCTCCTTGAACTGCAAGGAGTATACTTCGAGAATGCGCGTACAGACTTGAAGGTGCATGCCGGAAGATGGTATGATGGTGGCCACAACAGTGCAAATATCTATAATATCCCAGGCAAAGGCGACTTGAGTACAGATACAGTTACCAGGAGGATAGAGCAGAGTGTTGATAAGGCCACTAAAGTCTGCTTGAACTTCGTTTCGAGCCCTATCACGAGGACCCATTTGATAAACAAACACAGCTTCTGTGTTTGACCGTGTTGGGCATCACAAGCCGGTCATGCGAAAGTATTTGCGCGTCACGATACTTAAACATAATCCAGTTTCCACAAATTCTTACTCAGACACAATTTTGTCAGAGATAATAAACGTACCTTCCAATTTCCATACAGTGTGCTCCTGAACCGATCGCGAATAGTATGATTTAGATTGCTTTTGAACAGAGGCCATCAGAATACACCCATGTAACCCATTGCCTTGTACTCAAAAGCAACTTGTGTGACTTTTGAAACAGTGCTGACCTACTAGTCATTCTACTCTCGCAAACAATTTTGACTCCGTGACCAATCGAAATTCGTACTCTTTTCCTCACTTTACAACTGTAAACGTAAGTTTATTCAACCACGCAAACTCGGTTAACATGGAATACCGTTGCTTTGCGTGAGCCGCAGCTCCTATATTCGATCAAGCCCATAAAAGGAGACTGGTCTCTCTGCCCCCCTCTCCTTGACTAGCGACATCATACTTTCACTGCTCCGTCAGAATGTAGATTGTCTACCTCTAATCGGACACCTCTTCCATAAAAGATACTCGTGGTGAATAGCCTCCACTATCCCCTTAACAGCCCCAACCATCTTTTCTATTTAAGCACTTTCTACACACTTTTCATTTTCGAACTGATCTACTCACTTCTTCGTTTTCCCGAAACAGCTAAACTCTGGAAGTCTGTAACAATCCCTGTATTACAATCTTCTATGTTGTCCAGACTCGTGTTAACAAGGGTCTGAACAAGTCTAAGATATGTTGTGCCTTTATATTGTCTGGTCTTTCTATGAACACTTTCACCAGGTGATATTTGTTAAATTTGCCCACGGCTATGCACTGCATGCACTTTCTGGCGTGGGACTGAGCCGAAATTTAGTGTTTACATTTGCTCATTTTATGCAGAGTTGATGCACTCATATGGCTATTGCAAACTGTGGAAATAAAACAAATAAAAAAAAAAAAAAAAAAAAACAAACTGTGGACTGGAAGATAATGCCCGTTGAGCGAAGCTACCCTATGTTTGTTATGTAAGACATAGATCACAGTTGTGTGAGAATAAACAGGCAATCCAAAGATATGTGCTAGAACTGTGTAGAACTGGTCGAAGAGGAGTTTTTGAAGGAATTGCGTGTGAGAAATTCGGCAAATGCGCGGGCGACATCGATCAAATGATCTAACGTCAAACTGGTAGCAAGGGGAAATGCCCTAAAACAACAGCTAGCACAGGTAAAAAAAAGTGGGGTACGAGTGGCCAAAAAGGAGGGCACTGCAAATCCCCATGTATTCCACCACCTGGGAGGACTATAATGAAAATAATCGTTCCCCTATACCACCTTTTCGATGCCTAACTTCCACGCCAACCGAAGTGAGCACGAGGGCTGAGATACAGTCAATTTTCCCAAAACTGAACAGGACGAGTCGGGATGCTGAAGTCGGGTTCGAACCACGGTCAGTAAATTCGTACTCTAACCACTGAGCCATCCCGCCCCAAAATATTCTCACAGTCTTAAAAGTTGGTACATCTGCGCTTTGAGGAAAGCAACCAACGGCCACTCAAATCGGTGTCCGAGTTATGAGCTACAAAAGCTTTTGCCTCGATTGTCAAGTCAAAAGGCATCTCACAAAACCTTTGTCCGAATTTAACCCGAGTAGTCCTTAGTCAGAATTTGTCCAGGAGCGATGTCGCCAATACTTGTCCCTATCGGACGCGTTATTCTCTACACAGTGGCTGGTTTTGTTTAACCTCGGCTGATTATAACCTTCCCGATAGCAACAGCAAGTAAATCAGTTGTTCCAACTTCACCAGCTATACTGTTTTCTACCCAAACTTGGCGGACAACAATACACTTCACATTCAGGCATTTTTTTCATGGGAAAGCGTCAGTTCAGAACAACTTCCACAGCGTACAATCCTCTCGAGGGGGCGTTCTAGTGCTTGATGTTCGCTCATCGAAGACTAGCGTACTGGATGAGCAATGGGCAGCACAGAGCGTCATCATCATCATCACCAACGACAGCATGACATCAGTGCTCAACACCGATGCTTCACTGCCGTACAGCCATGACTTATTTGAAAGCCTTATTGTAAAGAAAAGAATAAAGGTGGACCAAAATATTCTCACAGTCTTAAAAGTTGGTATATCGGCGCTTTGAAAAAAGCAACCAACGGCCACTCAAATCGGTGTCCGAGTTATGAGCTACAAAAGCTTTTGCCTCGATTGTCAAGTCAAAAGGCATCTCACAAAACCTTTGTCCGAATTTAACCCGAGTAGTCCTTAGTCAGAATTTGTCCAGGAGCGATGTCGCCAATACTTGTCCCTATCGGACGCGTTATTCTCTACACAGTGGCTGGTTTTGTTTAACCTCGGCTGATTATAACCTTCCCGATAGCAACAGCAAGTAAATCAGTTGTTCCAACTTCACCAGCTATACTGTTTTCTACCCAAACTTGGCGGACAACAATACACTTCACATTCAGGCATTTTTTTCATGGGAAAGCGTCAGTTCAGAACAACTTCCACAGCGTACAATCCTCTCGAGGGGGCGTTCTAGTGCTTGATGTTCGCTCATCGATAACAAGCGTACTGGATGAGCAATGGGCAGCACAGAGCGTAAACATGCAGTTTATTGAGGATGTATGTTAGCTGTGCCTTACGTGCGTTCAATGGGTGTTTAAAAGCCTAGTAATCGGTACCAGTCAGGGAGCACAATTACAGTTTAATAAACTGGTGACTATGCTTCTCTGCTTGATGATCACGACAACCAATAGATTAAAAGTCAGGAGAAACTTGGGCGTACGAGCCCCTGTTGAGGTGACGTTTGGAGAGAAAGTACCGTATGAATAGAAAATGAATTAGTTTTCGAGTAGGGAGCAGACATACTGACCTGAAATGGGCAAACATGTGAATTCCGGTGCAACATGCCTTGTATCAGCAAGCGACGAGACCAGCGGAGTGAACGGAGGTCTAATCCTACGCGCTAACAGTGCAGCCCAGTCCATCTTTCTGAAGAAACAATGAGAACGGATTTCTTCGAAGTCCAGCCGGCTTCCCAGTCGTTCTTCCTTGGACTTATGCAATAGCTGGGAGTAGATGGAGGGGAACATCAGCTTAGAAGTTATGATATTGTATTACAAGTCACACACGTTGCGTAAGCCCACCACGGAAACAGAAGAAACCTCAGAACTGTATTTTTGTGCTCGAGATGTCTTCACTCCCTTACAAATGGCTGCCATTATTCAAGACTTCAATAACAACAATTGTAACCAAACCAACAGGACTTTACAATGATGGGAACGTTGTCACTCCATGTTTCTTAA